CAGTTGAATGACCAGTCTTGAAACCTGACTGGTTTGGATCAAGAAGGTCATTCTGAGAGAGATAACAAGAGAGTTGGCTAGAGACGGCACGCTCAAGAGTTTTGGAGAGAAAAGAAAGAAGGGATACTGGTCTGTAGTTGTTGACATTGGAGGGATCGAGTGTAGTTTTTTTAAAAAGGGGTGCAACTCTCGCTCTCTTGAAGACGGAAGGGACATAGTCAGTGGTCAAGGATGAGTTGATGAGCGAGGTGAAGTAAGGGAGAAGGTCTCCGGAAATGGTCTGGAGAAGAGAGGAGGGGATAGGGTCAAGCGGGCAGGTTGTTGGGCGGCTGGCCGTCACAAGTCGCAAGATTTCATCTGGAGAGAGAGGGGAGAAAGAAGTCAAAGCATAGGGTAGGGCAGTGTGAGCAGGACCAGCGGTGTCATTTGACTTAATAAATGAGGATGTTGTCAACCTTCTTTTCAAAATGGTTGACGAAGTCATCCACAGAGAGGGAGGAGGGAGGGGGAGGAGGAGGAGGATTCAGCAGGGAGGAGAAGGTGGCAAAGAGCTTCCTAGGGTTAGAGGCAGAGGCTCTGAAAGCCTTCAAAATACACTGAAAACAAAATACATCTATACAGCTAAAACAATCACAACAATATGATGTCAAAACAAGTTGACATTGAATGAAAGTGTGCTTTGTCAATTTACCTAATTTTGATAACCGTTACTTTGGACAAAATCAAGACGTCGATATTCTTGTAATGCTTTTTGTATAAAAAATCGTAAAATACAGCTCAATTTGAGCAAATTCTGAATTTGGTGAAAAAAGGCCGAAATGCCCTTACGTTGATGACTTTTGGCAAATCTAATCAGTTTTCCACATTGATTAAACGTAATCACATTGATTCAACCAGTTTATCCCCAGTGGGATTGTATTATTAATTATACTTGATTTTGATAAAAGCGCTCTATCAGATTCATAAGTAGGAACACTGAACTATTTCACAGTGCATTGCACACATGTGTGAGACTGCTCTGGACCTTCCCAGATAGCAACCACCTATTGTAACTGTAATGTTAGCTACCCAATGTAACCCTCAGTTGTGTCATTAAAATATACAGTTGCTGACTGCTCTAGTCTAGATTGTACACGACCGACAAAGCGCATTCCAGCACATTTCTCCTTATTTTACATAATTGACCATTCTGAGAAAAGAGAGATATGGAAGAAATATATTTCCTCAGCACACTGATTTGGCAATCAACAAATTACTATCAATCTTGGTGTATTCAGCTGAGAAGTATATACAGTGCATTCGGGAAGTATACAGACCCCTTGACTTTTTCCACATTTTGTTACGTTACAGCCTTATTCTAAAATTGATTAAATCGTTTTTTCCCCTCATCAATCTACACACAATAGCCCATAATGACAAAGCAAAAATAGATTTGTAGATTTTTTTGCACATTTATTAAAAACAAAAAATTGAAATATTACATTTACATCATAAGTATTCAGACCCTTTACTCATTACTTTGTTGAAGCACCTTTGGCAGTGATTACAGTCTCAAGTCTTCTTGGGTATGACGCTACAAGCTTGGCACACCTGTATTTGGGGAGTTTCTCCCATTCTTCTCTGCAGATCCCCTCAAGCTCTGTCAGGTTGGATGGGGAGCGTCGCTGCACAGCTATTTTCAGGTCTCTCTAGAGATGTTCGATCGGGTTCAAGTCCGGGCTCTGGCTGGGCCACTCAAGGACATTCAGAGACTTGTCCCGAAGCCACTCCTGCGTTGTCTTGGCTGTGTGCTTAGGGTCGTTGTCCTGTTGGAAGGTGAACCTTCACCCCAGTCTGAGGTCCTGAGCGCTCTGGAGCAGGTTTTCATCAAGGATCTCTCTGTACTTTGCTCCGTTCATCTGTCTCTCAATCCTGACTAGTCTCCCAGTCCCTGCCGCAGAAAAACATCCCCACAGCATGATGCTGCCACCATCATGCTTCACCGTAGGGATGGTGCCAGGTTTCCTCCAGACGTGACGCTTGGCATACAGGCCAAAGAGTTCAATCTTGGTTTCATCAGACCAGAGAATCTTGTTTCTAATGGTCTGAGAGTCCATTAGGGGCCTTTTGGCAAACTCCAAGCGGACTGTCGTGCCTTTTACTGAGGAGTGGCTTCCGTCTGCCCACTCTACCATAAAGGCCTGATTGGTGGAGTGCTGCAGAGATGATTGTCCTTCTGGAAGGTTCTCCCATCTCTACAGAGGAACTCTTGAGCTCTGTCAGAGTGACCATCGGGTTCTTGGTCACCTCTCTGACCAAGGCCCTTCTCCCCCAATTGCTCAGTTTGGCCAGGCGGCCAGCTCTAGGAAGAGTCTTGGTGGTTCCAAACTTCTTCCATTTAAGAATGATGGAGGCCACTGTGTTCTTGGGGACCTTCAATGCTGCAAAAATGTTTTGGTACCCTTCCCCAGATCTGTGCCTCGACAAAATCCTGTCTCTGAGCTCTACGGACAATTCCTACAACCTCATGGCTTGGTTTTTGCTCTGACATGCACTATCAACTGTGGGACCTTATATAGACAGGTGTGTGCCTTTCCAAATCATGTCCAATCAATTGTAGAAACATCTCAAGGATGATCAATGGAAACAGGATGCACCTGAGCTCAATTTCAAGACTCATAGCAAAGTGTCTGAATACCAATATAAATAAGCAATTTCTGTTTAATTTTTTTTTATAAATTAGCAACATTTTCACTTTGTCATTATGGGGTATTGTGTGTAGATTGATGAGGATTTTTATTTATTTAATAATTTTTAGAATTAGGCTGTAACGTAACAAAATGTGGAAAAAGTCAAGAGGTCTGAATACTTTCCGAATGCACGGTATACAATTCCAGTCAAATTGATTTAGAATTCATGTTCTTCATGAACTGTTTTCAAACCACAGAACGCTCAAATTTCAGCTAGAACTCAAGCCCAGGGATCTGCATGGTTGTCCCACTAATAAATGAACAAGTTCTATGGAGCTCACTAATCCAGTGTGTAAAACTTGAAGTTCAAATCAAATCAAATGTATTGGTCACATGCGCAGAATAAAACAGGTGTAGACTTTACAGTGAAATGCTTACTTACGAGCTCATTCCCAACAATGCAGAGTTAAAAAAGTAAGACTAAATAAAATAAAAAGGAAATAGTAACACAATAAAAACAATAATGAGGCCATGTACAAGGCTATTTACAAGTTCGCTTACAATATATCAATGGATATCTGATGACACACAAACACTATGATGACCGACACTCATTCCTCTATCCCAAGGAAATTCCAATTCCTCCAATTGACATGGAGCCACAGCGACAAAGTCCGTCGATGACGGAACAAGTTACAGCTCAACACTGACCTTTTAACCTATTAATCACCATGGAGCATGCGGCAGACACACACACACTCTCTCTCTCTCTCTCTCTCTCTCTTCTCTCACTCACACACACACCCACACACCCAACTGGCATTAGTTTTAATGGAGTGATAGAGAAACACTGTGTTCCAATGGAAATTACAACATACCCTATGGGGTTTATGGCCCTGGACCTGATGCCCTCTATGTGTGTCTTATCAGTGATCTTAATCAAGACAGCAAACGCTGTCCCACCCCCACACGGGCTCCAACGCAACAGCCAACACACAAAAGAAGGAATCAGAATTGATAGCAGAATGTTATTAGGTTGATTGCATTCAACTTACTCTCTTCTCTTTGACAGTGCTCCAAAAGTTCTACCAGATTTATATAACTGGCCCATAGAAAATTAAGAAAGTGATACATATACACTCTGACATACTGTAGGTCTCCACAAATCAAACCATGGAGGCAACCAATAGTGCTAATCCAGTATTTTAAACCTTTAAGTATTTAAAACTAGACAACTCTCACTATTATCTCTTTAGAATCTTATTATTTATAAGAATGTTTCTTTTTGATTAATATTCATTGCTGAATCAGGGCCAACTCTCATGTGTCCCTCATTTGGTAACCCTAATCCCTCCAATAATGTATAATCCATTCTCCTTTTAGTGAACAATGCAGTGAACAAATTAACAAGATAGCTTGAGGCTAGTTTAGTTTAGTTTATTCATTCAACCATTTAAAAAAAACAAGCGCACATAAAACTTGAAAAAGCCATACATGCACATGAGTAAAATCATAGAGGATAACACACAATAAAGTCTGGGACTTATTTCCATTGTGGTCCTCTTGAAACAAGATGGCTAGGCAAGATGGAACACGGTTGAACACAGTATGACAGCGAGATAATAAAAACAAAGAAGAAGAACATCTATCTCATCATTGTAGTTACATCATAGGATACAGATGTTCCTCCTTGAATGGTGAATGTTCTTTGGTAGCATCAAGATGCTAATGCATCCTCAGGGTGCTCCTGTCACCTTTCTCTCCCCTGCTGTCTGGCTCATCTCCCTGGTTCCTGCTCAGTATGACTGGCCCTTTCATGTCTCATGGTAATGCCACAGGAGACAGCAGCTCAGGTAGTCCAGCAAGGCCAGGCAAGAATGGCCATTGTCATGGAGGCCAAATGTCTGAGGCAATCATGGAGCACATGGTGGTTGTATTGTGTGTGAAAGTTTTACCATCACACATGGTGACTGAGTTGTTTGTGCCATTGGGAGCACAGCCAGAGTGGAGATTGTAACTATTAACCTGCAAAGTAAATCACATCACAATTAAAATAGATAGCCATTTAGAAAGACACAAGATAGAATCGAGAACATTTGATTATCCAAGATAATGCACACACAGACAAGGTGCATGTGAGTGTGTGCGCATACACTAGTGTGGGAGTGTGTCCACAGCGTTTCACTTTGCTGACTCCCGCTGAATGCACTCTGCAGGTGACCATTGTACCCGGCTCCTCCCTGTGAGACGGTGTGGGGGTGAGGTCCACCTCCACGGAGGCACACAACCTCTCACACCTCTCCCCCCTCCTGCTGCTCCAGCCCTATAAAAAAACAGAGCTGGCCCTCCTGTTCCCCAGTCTCATAACGACCAATCAGCCACCAGGTAAGAGAATGAGTGGGAGAGCTAAGGGCTGGGGCTAGAAGCCAAGGACTTGGTTTGCATACACTGAGGAACTAGTAGAGAGAAAGGCAGACTATAATTTTTCTGGAAACTTTTTTTGTCTCTTATTTTGAACGCTTATTACTACTTTGATATGAACTGTTACACATGCATTAAGCAGCAGTTATCACTTTAGCAATGCTTCTTTCAGACAGTTTACTATAATTTAATAGAAAGATGGGAGGGAACAATGGAGAAATAATGTTATAAAATGTCCTAGAAAAAAAGATGTAGCTAATTTTCTTCCTATGCCAATAGCTTTCAGTGCATCTGGAATTACTCTGAACAACTGTTTAAGTGTAACCTCTGTCCGGGCTACAGTGATCCAGCGATGTGTCTGTCTTAGTGCAGGGATTGAGGATTAGGTGGTAGGAGATGAGGGTTAATCTCTTTGTAGGAATGGTATAACTCTATCCAGCTCTGTGCAATCTGACCAGATTAGAGGTCCTTTTAATAGGCTGACATATGGCATAGGGTAAACTGATTGAGGGCAGCCTGGAGTTGCGTGTCTTTGGGGGTTTGCTCCTTCTGATTCCCCAAATCACTGGAGAACTACTTAGAGTCAGACTTTGAATTATTGGCTTGTTTGGTTTTGGTGACATTTAAAGTTTGATTTAAAGTGTTTTGCAATTAGTGATTTGTTGCATTGTTCAAATATTGTTAGCTTTAAATCTATTTTGAACCATTCAATGTTGACTTCCCATGGTTTACCGAGTGACGCAGTGGTCTAAGGCACTGCATCGCAGTGCTAGCTGTGCCACTAGAGATCCTGGTTCGAATCCAGGCTCTGTCGTAGCCGGCCGTGACCGGGAGACCCATGGGGCGGTGCACAATTGGCCCAGCGTCGTCCAGGGTAGGGGAGGGAATGGCCGGCAGGGATGTAGCTCAGTTGGTAGAGCATGGCATTTGCAACGCCAGGGTTGTGGGTTCGATTCCAGTATAAAAAATAAAAAAAATGTATGCACTCACTAACTGTAAGTCGCTCTGGATAAGAGCGTCTGGTAAATGTAAAATGTTTACAGTTTCAATTGTGAATATCTGAATTCTTGTCTTACTCATCGCGCACCATTCGTTCTCTTTTTTCCCCTCAGACCACCATCATGAAATTCCTGGCTCTCGCACTCACCATCCTGCTGGCCGCAGGTTAGTATCCCAGCCTTGTCATAGTGCCGCCAAATTGATAATGTAGTAATGACATTTTAATGCATTGTGTGTGTACCATGCTCTGGTATATTGAACAATTCAAAATGAAATCTTACTCAATTCTATTAAAGTGCTGGGCCATTCACCACTGTTGCCCAAACAATGCCTGACCCTCTTCCCCTCTCTCTCCTCTCCCAGGTACCCAGGCTGTTCCTATGCAGGCCGATGCTCCCTCTCAGCTGGAGCATGTGAAGGCAGCCATGATGGTGTACATGACTCAGGTGAAGGAGACCGCACAGAGGTCCATCGACCTTCTGGATGACACAGAGTACAAAGAGTACAAGTAAGGACATGTTGCATTTCATCTTCTCTATCTTCTCTATCTTCTCTATCTTCTCTATCTTCTCGCTCCCTCTTCACTCACTCACTCACTCACTCACTTACTCACTCCATTCAAATGTAAAAGGTTCAATTCAATGGTGCCCAACCTCCACAGATAACTAAACCAATCTCTCTCTCTCTCTCTCTCTCCTCTCTCTCTCTCTCTCTCTCTCTCTCTCTCTCGCTCTCTCTCTCTCTCTCTCTCTCTCTCTCCCTCCCTCCCTCCTCTTCTTGGTGTCCCTTTCAGGCAGCAGCTGTCCCAGAGCCTTGACAACCTCCAGCAGTATGCCCAGTCCGCCTCCCAGTCCCTGGCCCCCTACAGCGAGGCCTTCGGCACCCAGTTGACTGATGCCACCGCCGCCGTGCGCGCTGAGGTCATGAAGGACGTGGAGGAGCTGCGCACCCAGCTGGAGCCCAAGCGTGCCGAGCTCAAGGCAGTCCTGGAAAAGCACATGGAGGAGTACCGTGAGAAGCTGGAGCCCCTGATCAAGGAGCACATCGACCAGCGCCGCACCGAGATGGAGGCCTTCAGGATCAAGATGGAGCCCGTTGTGGAGGAGATGCGCGCCAAGGTGTCCGCCAATGTGGAGGAGACCAAGGCCAAGCTCATGCCCATCGTGGAGACCGTCCGTGCCAAGCTGACCGAGCGTCTGGAAGAGCTGAGGACCCTGGCCGCCCCCTACGCTGAGGAGTACAAGGAGCAGATGATCAAGGCTGTTGAAGAGGTGCGTGAGAAGGTGGTGCCCCTGACTGAGGACTTCAAGGGCCAGGTGGGCCCCGCCGCCGAGCAGGCTAGGCTAAAGCTCATGTCTATCTACGAGACCATCATCCAGGCCATGAAGGCATAAACATGCCCTCAACCGGACCCTCTCTCCCTTCCTTCCCTTCTCACTCACACTGACTCACACACCATACGTACCACGCCAATGCCAAACTGATGCACTTCCTCTGCAGCGACATGGCAGGACTCTTGCTCTCTCTAACGCACCACTAACGCGCTCAAGCACACGCAAGCGCAGACACTAACGCACTATTGCATACATTCCGTTTTGAATTGTGTTCAGGGCCTGTATGCACAATCCTGGGCCTGCACAATCTTGACTGTACTATGAACATCAAGTGTTAATATTATTGTGTTGCTGCTTGTTCAAGATAGCTGTGTGCTTCAAAACAGCTCAATAAACACCATACTGTTTCATACTATTTCATTCTCTGAGTTTGACTTCTTTGGATTGTATTGTTTAGAACTAGCCTTTATATACGGCCCTCACAACTAACATTCGCTCTGTGACAAAATAGCCATGTTGGGTTTATGTATGAACGCCTTGTATCACACACTTCTGTGTTCTAAAACATTATGTGTTCTATTACAGGATTTTGAACCACAAAATAATTTCATTCATCTTTAAAGTCTCCTATCTCAACATGATCAAAATGAAGTGATGCAACTCTTATCACTTCATAAGCAATGCACACATATGACAATGAAACAAACAAATGTATTTTACATGGATAACATGTCACTGTAACAGTATTCACATTGGTTTAAAAGAATGGTTCATCTAAAAATGATAACTGATCAAAATTCAAAACAAATGGACTTTCATAATAATTTTCGCTGAAAACCAGTGACCATTCATGGAGATCATGGGAGTTCATATGAGTCTTAGTGTTGGTGGCCATAGAGGGTTGATGAATGGGTTAATAAGGAGGAGGTGTCAGTGTATTGGCAGGCTGTGACCTGGTAGAGTTTCATTAGAGACGGTGTTAGATGGATGGGGCGCTACTCTGCACCTCTCAGGCTGAGCCCCATCAACACCGTCCCATCACAGAGTATGTGCACACACACACACACACACACACACACACACACACACACACACACTGGGAGGGGGTATGACTGTGGGGGAAAAAAAACTAAACTTTATGAATTTATACTTCTTGAGTTCTAAGGTTGTTTATCAATCATGCCATCTAGACATAAGTTGGTTCTCTATAGAGTAGACTTCTTCCACCAATACCAACTTCTGTCCCCTCACATGTAACAATACTTGATAATAAGCAAGAGGGTAGTGATGGGTGAGGCCTTCATTGACTCAGTTAGTAGAGCATGATGCTTGCAACATCAGGATTGTGGGTACTGTTATCTGTACTAACAGTATTATTAAATAATATCTGCTGCTATCTACTGTTAAGTTGTAATAGTTTTGATAATAAACCTATACTAAGTATACTTGTATCTGCTGCTATTTGGTTTTGGTTTGTTTGTAATTTGTTTTGCTACGTGATCCACTTATTGTTTTCTTGGTTTGTCTTAACTTATCTTATATTTTTTAATGACTGTGAGTTCGATTACCGGGGCCACCCATATGAAAAATATATACATGCATGACTGTAAGTTGCTTTGGATAAAAGCGTATTTTAAATGGCATATATTATTATTATGTTATTCCTATGGACACGGCACGTATAAGGATACTTCCCAGACTAGACACAAGGTGAAGCTATTTTGGCAAACATCTCAAGGCAACTTTAGATTAGAGTTGAAGATTGCAATTAGCATTGTGTTGAATGGTGAAATAGATTTATTTTTAAATCAATAGCAGCAGTGGCTCTCTGTCGGATGTCTGTCCTCACTCAATAACAGAGGATAACTAGTGTAATTAATGACCTATTTCTAAAAAGTGAAGTGCATCTCAATGAAAATAACACATTGTGCATCTTATTATGGTATAAAAACTGTAAAGAAATGTCTGAAAGCAGTAATAAATGTTTTGATAAATGTTTTCTGTCACATCTTATGTGCATGTACCTATGTATATGTGCAGAGTGTGTGTGATATCCCTCTCAGTGTATGTGTGTGAGTGTGTGTGTGTTAATATTGCATGTCAGTGGCTTTATTACGGTGTAATGGATGAGGTGGGATCGAGGGTCCCTTGAGTATCCCAGCCTGTATAAAGCCTGCTTGGTGTTCCAGTCCTCTGTCCCAGACCCAGTCAGTGGTACACTGAACCACACAGACATTCTTGTTTTCCAAGGACAGCTAACGGTCTCAGACTAAAGCAGGGGATTTTATGTGGTCAAAGTTCTACTCTAAACTGGACAGCAGACTGGTCAGTGAACAGTGGAACAACAGAGCAGAAACAACCAATTGATGGAAGTTGAAAGTGGACAAATCTGAAGCATTGCCCACCACTGGAGATTCTGACTGTAACACGAACAGTATGAATGGTACTGGAGCTTCACAGCATTAGTTTGAATTCATGGTTCCTACCTGACTTTTCTTGTGAAATCCTGTTTTTCATGTGTTTTTTTCCTCCTCTCCAGTTCCTCAACTGTCTCACAGGTGTTCCCTCACGCTGCCCTGCTGTGCGGAAGCTGGTGGGGTCACCTGTGCCAAAGCCCCCCAGGTCACTGGGGTCACAGTTCAGCTGGAGATGCACGCGCTGTGGCAACAGTTTGACCAGCTGGGCACAGAGATGATCGTCACCAAGGCTGGGAGGTAGGAAGATGTTAACACATACGGACACAGACACACACACACACACACATAAACACACACACTCACTGTGGTTGAACTAATCACATATCACTGCGTTGCTGCTGTGTCCTGCATGGTCCTTGTAGGAGGATGTTCCCTACCTTCCAGGTGAGTATCTCAGGGATGGACCCTGCAGCGGAATATGTGCTGCTCATGGACTTCATCCCTGTGGATGACAAGAGATACAGGTGAGTTTTATCCATAGAGTTACATAGAATGTGATTCATAGGATCTGTGGTTTTACCTACACTCTGCCAGCATATGAGACATACACTAGATCTACTCATAATAGTGTTTGTGGGGAATCATCATACAGTATATTGTGGTTATGATGTACAGTACATAACCTGGCAGCCTCTTCTTGATTGTACCACATAATATGTACCAGATAATGCACAAAATCTTAACCAGCGCCAATTGAAAAAGCATTGAGTAGAACTTTCAGCCTGGTGTAACAGAACGTTCAATAGTGGAGTGACACAACGTGCAACCAATTAATATAGTATCTTTGCTCTCCTGTATGTAGATATGCGTTCCACAGCTCCTCGTGGCTGGTGGCGGGCCGGGCCGATGTGGCAGCCCCGGGGAGGATGCACTTCCACCCAGACTCCCCCGCCAGAGGGTCCCAGTGGATGAAACAGATGGTCTCCTTCGACGCACTCAAACTGACCAACAACCTGCTGGATGATAATGGACATGTGAGATAAGCACACACACATACACACCGACACAGACCAGTCCAGACCAGACACAGACACACACACCGACCAGTCCAGACGCAGACACACATGCATGCACACACACACACACACACACACACACACACATCTTTACAATCAGTACTTGCTCGCGTTCTTTATACATTCTTTGTATTTCTGAGTCTTTGTACCTGTGTGTGTATGTGATGTGCATTGTGTTTGTTTGTCACACACCCAGATGATCTTGAACTCCATGCATCGTTACCAGCCTCGATTCCATGTGGTGTATGTGGAACCATGGCGGGACAGCCAGCTTCATGCACCACCGCAACTTCTGCACCTTCTCCTTCCCTGAAACACACTTCATAGCCGTCACTGCCTACCAGAACCACAGGGTATTGTAATGACTATGTTATAACTGTCACTTCATATGATGTTGAAGAGACAAACTAGTCCAGTCTTGTATGAATTATGACCATTGGAGATTCACCCTACATACTACCTTGAAATTGATGACAGATAATGCTCTCTCTCTCTCTCTCTCTCTCTCTCTCTCTCTCTCTCTCTCTCTCTCTCTCTCTCTCTCTCTCTCTCTCTCTCTCTCTTTCTCTGGCCCTTATTAATATATGTAGCCTTAGAAATAAAGTTAAAATGTGAAATGCTTGACAGAGTAAGTGATGTAAACAGAGAGGTCTACTTTCTTGGGGACCTGAATTTTGACTGATTTTCATCAAGCTGTCCGCTCAAGAGGAAGCTTCTCACTGTAACCAGTGCCTGTAATCTGGTTCAGGTTATTAATCAATCTACCAGGGTGTTTACAAACACTACAGGAACTATATCATCCACATGTATCGATCACATTTTTACTAATACAGTAGAACTTTGTTCTAAAGCTGTATCTGTACCCATTGGATGCAGTGATCACAATATAGTGGCTATATCCAGGAAAGCCAAAGTTCCAAAAGCTGTGCCTAAAATAGTGTATATTTAGCTGACTCTTGTGTGGATGATGTTAAAAATATTTGTTGGTCTGATGTGATTAATAAGGAGCATCCTTCCAATTATTTATAAACATGCACCTGTTAAGAAACTGTTAGAACTGTTAAGGCTCCATGGATTGATGAGGAATTTAAAAACTGTATGAAAGAGATGGGGCAAAAGGAGTGGCTAATAAGTCTGGCTGCACATCTGACTGGCTAACTTACTGCAAATTGAGAAATTATGTGACTAAACTCAACAAAAAGAAGAAGAAACTGTATTATGATGATGACATTTTTTTGTGGTTGAGAACTTTAAATGAAATTATGGTCAGAAAGACAAACTCAACTCCATCTTTCATCGAATCAGATGGCTTATTCATCAGAAAACCATTTGATATTGCCAATTATTTTAATGATTAGTTCATTGGCAAAGTGGGCATACTTAGGCAGGAAATGCCAACAACGAACAGTGAGCCATCATATTCATGCATAAGAAAATGAATAATGAATGAAAAGCATTATACGTTTGTATTTTGTAATGTTAATAATTGTTATCAATCAATAATGTCAAACCTCCTATCTGTCATATCTTTAATCTGAGCCTAGAGGAAAGTGTTTGTCCTCAGGCCTGGAGGGAAGCCAAAGTCAATCCGCTACCAAAGAATGGTAAAGCGGCCTTTACTGGTTCTAACAGCCAACCTATCAGCTTGCTGCCAGCTCTTAGCAAACTGTAGGAAAAAACAGTGTTTGACCAAATACAATGCTATTTCTCAGTAAACTAATTAACAACAGACTTTCAGCATGCTTATAAAGAAGGGCACTCAACATGTACTGCACTGACACAAATGACTGATGATTGTTTGAAAGAAATTGATAATAAGAAGATTGTGGGAGCTGTACTGTTAGATTTCAGTGCAGCTTTTGATATTATTGACCATAACCTGTTGTTGAAAAACGTATGTGTTATGGCTTTTCAACCTCTGCCATATCGTGGATTCAGAGCTATCTATCTAATAGAACACAGAGGGTTTTCTTTAATGGAAGCTTCTCTAATGTTAAACATGTAAAATTTTTACCAATGACCTGCCACTGGCATTAAACAAAGCCTGTGTGTCCATGTATGCTGATGATTCAACCCTATATGTGTCAGCAACCACAGCTAGTGAAATGACTGCAAACCTAAACAAAGAGTTGCAGTCAGTTTTAGAATGGGTGGCCAGTAATAAACTGGTCCTGAACATCTCTAAAACTAACAGCATTGTATTTGTACAAATCAAAGTTCTAGACCTCAGCTGAATCTGAATGGTGTTGCTGTTTAGCAAGTTGAGTAGACTAAATTAGTTGGTGTTACCTTAGATTGTAAACTGTCATGGTCAAAACATATTGATTCAATGGTTGTAAAGATGGGGAGATGTCTGTCCGTGATAAAGAGATGCTCTGCTTTTTTGACACCACACTCCACAAAGCAGGCTCTAGTTTTATCTTATCTTGATTATAGTCCAGTCCAGTCATATGGTCAAGTACCGCAAAGAAGGACCTAGTTAAGCTGCAGCTGGCCCAGAACAGAGCAGCACATCTTGCTCTTCATTGTAATCAGAGGGCTAATATCAATACTATGCATGCCAGTCTCTTTTGGCTAAGAGCTGAGGAAAGACTGACTGCATCGCTTCTAGTTTTTATAAGAAAAAATGTATTGGAAATTCCAAACTGTTTTCATAGTCAACTTATATACAGCACTGACACACACATTTACCCCACCAGACATGCCACCAGGGGTCTTTTCAAAGTCCCCAGGTCCAGAACAAATCCAAGGAAATGTACAGTATTATACAGAGCCATGATTGCATGGAACTCCCTTCCATCTCATATAGCACAAGTGAACAGCAAACCTGGTTTCAAAAAACTAATAAAGCAACACCTCACGGCAAAACGCCTCTCCCCCATGTGACCTACTTTTTGTATGTACGGAAATGTATGTGTAACTGATAGATACACACACACGCACACTACATGTTAATGTTTTTAAATGTATGTAAATTGTAAAGTATTTTGTCTGTAATGTCTTTTTCGTTGTGTGTTAGACCCCAGTAAAATTATAGCTGTCGCCATTGGCGTCAGCTAATAGGGATCTGGTAAAAAACTAAAAATCTCTCTCACTCTCTCTCTCTCTCTCTCTCTCTCTCAGATCACCCAGTTGAAGATAGCCAGTAACCCGTTTGCAAAGGGCTTCCGAACTACTAATCCTGATGCCTGGTAAAACAAATAAACATGTTCTTTGTTTGTTAGCGTCTAGAACTTCAGAATCATTTCGGTGATACGTTGAACATAAAAGTCAAAGGACAACAACCAAATTCAGACATTGAGGACTGATTGTCGGATTCAGGTGGCTTCCCTCCTACAATTAATGTAAAATCTAGATTGTTCCATGGAAACACTCAATTAAATAATAACTGCAACATTGTACATCCTTATCGCTCGCTCTCTTATCACCTGATATTCAGGTTAAGGAGCAATCGCAACATGAATCCTGAATTTTGATCATGGCCTCTACATATGACAACACAACAGACACTCAATTAGGCTTATTAAGGCCAATCATAACATGATAGGGTAAAAGGTGACTGATGTTGGTAACCTGTTTTTAACCTGTTGTAATTCTGCCTAACTGTTCTTTGATAGTAATGCAACTGTGTCGTTGTGTGTTCAGGGTGGGCAGGGTGGGCAACGCCAGGCCCCTGCCTCACTCTCTGCCCACCTGGCAGCCACAGGAGGGCAGCCATGAGCCTGGCAGTATGTCAGGAGAGCAGCGAGCACAGAACCTAAAGAGTCTATCAAGTGAGCGACTGAGACCCAGGAATCTCCCTGTCCTCCTCCCTCGAAACATCAGTGTCACAATGAAATACTGAGCATGTTTTAGGCAATATACAGCCATCACTGTCACTCCATAATGTGCACTAATCTTTGGTCAGAGAAATTATATTTTAAACTCTTGGTTTTTTCCTCCCCTTTCTCAACTTCTTTCTTCCTCTGTAGGACAAGAGGATTCAAACATTGTCTCTTTATCAACACTGCATCGTGAACTAGGCCACCATTGCAGGGAAGACATCAGCTGTACCAGTGAGAGAAAGGATGTGGAGAATAATATTTTTCCACCCTTGACTTTCATCCCCCTTCCCACCCTCTGGGAATGTCCAGGCACTTCAGAGAGACTGAACCTGGGATGAGAGGAGGGAATTTCTTCCATAGTTCCATTACTACAGATCTTCCTACAGTAGCCCACATTCTCCTTCAATATGTGAATATCTCTCTTCATTATTTCTCAAAGGAACCAAGTGAAAATGTTCTATCATGAGCTCAATCCTTTAGCTTATTTTCTATTTTCTTTGATTGTTTCATCTTGGGTTGGTGATTTTAGATATTTTTTACACAAAGCACACAAGGCAATATAGGGAAATTAATTGTTTGAAGTGGAAAATATTGTTATTCAAATGATGTCAATAAAGACCAATTTAAAATAATTTGCTCTTTTGCTTTATCATTTATTATAGGCTATTTTTTATTAAAGGCAATTTTTTATACCCATGATTAAATAGAAAAACTACTATACCCACAATGCCCTGTGCGCTCCTATTTCCCAATTGAGGTTGTGTTTGAAGGGAGATGTTCCGCTCAGTTACAACATGATGCAGGATTGATGGAGGAGGCGGGTGAATGCGGGAAGGTAGCGGAGATAATGCACAGAGGAGAGATGCGGATTATGGTGACTGGGATTTTTGGTCGTGTGACAGAACGATGATCGGACGGGTAACGGGCTTCTAGATTGTTGATATTGGGACCTCAGCCTTTTTGGACAATCTCTAATTCATGCGTTCTATGTTTTCTTTTATTGTCGGCCTATTTGCGCAGTTGATGATTTCATTATACTGAATTTGATTGTTTTGTCGACAACTATAGGCTATTGGCACATGGATATTTCTATCGTTTATATAAGATTTAGTAAATTATTGTTATTTTTCTTATAAGGCGAGGACAAGATATATGGTCGCGGCAGCAAAGCGCTCGATACGACACCACCTGTACACGGACAGATTTTCAAATCAAGGGAACTCCGCTGTATTTTAATAAAGATGTCAACATTATTGCATTATGGCTGCAACTGTCAATTATTTCGCAGCATCAGCGTTTGATCTTGGTGCTATAAACAACAATTCTGCAGCAGTTCTAATGATGCCAAACTGAAAGGAGACGGTCGAGCGCGCAAATTAAGTGTCCTAAAATATATAGCCTAAAATAACATTTCAAAATGGAGGCACTCTGTCCTCGCTGGATGGTATTTTTATGGACGATTGTCGGCCTGTTTGTGGGTGTCAGTTTCGGCTCCAACGAGGCTGAAGTAGAACCAAACAGCTCTAGGCCCACTAGCTATCCACTTCCCACTGCGGCAGGGCCCTCTCTCCGAAACCCAACCCCCGCCTGTGGCCCCGCAGCGCTCTTCGAGTGCAGCGCGGAGGCGCAGAGGGGTCAGCCGCATCAATTTCGTGGACATGATCGACAACCTCCGTGGGAAATCTGGACAGGGCTACTACGTGGAGATGGCTGTGGGCTCACCGCTACAGAAGGTGACTGACTCTCTCTCTCTCTCTCTCTCTCTCTCTCTCTCTCTCTCTCTCTCTCTCTCTCTCTCTCTCTCTCTCTCTCTCTCTCTCTCTCTCTCTGTGTCATTGAGACGCCCATTCCATTGACCCTGAATGACATTTTGCGCACCTGTGCCCTATATCCTCTGCATTGTGGCACATCAAACCTACCCTATCAAACTTTTGATTAGTGGAATCACGTGTTCAGTAGTAGGGCAAAAACACCCATTTGGGTCCCCAGGACCAGAATTAAGAAAGACTGGCCTTCATAAACCTTGGTAACCTGGCTTCTAAAATGGCAGATGGTGAAGAAGAAGAAGAAGAACAACAACAATAATAAATGTGTGTGTCTGTGCCTGTGTGCTTGCATGTGAGAGAAGGAGAGAGAAAGAAGGAGAGAATGAAGCCTTTAATTCTGCAGAGAGAAAGAGGGGGGGAGATAATTCCCAGTGAGGTGCAGCTAAGCAGCTGCAGGGTACAGACTGGCACACCAGAGGGATTAATGTGTGACAGAGCCAACGTTATGCCCTGCCTAGGACACTCCCATTATGCCACTAGGAGGATAAACCATCACTGGCTTCCATCCACTCACAAACATTTAGAAACATTGATACAAATACAACCATAGAGATTGATCCAGTATTAATAACTATGAATACAACACACTAAAAGACACATAACAAAATATTTCCCTCATGTAATCGAAGGGAATTCTATTACTATATTGCTTTGTTACAGCAATACAAACCAAACAAATTGTCACATAGGTCTACTGTATAGACTACTATAAGACTGTTACAGTAACTTCAAGATGTTTGAGCAGCAAATGTAAACCAGGGGCTGTATGTATCAATTATCACAGAGTAGAAGTACTGATCTAGGATCAGGTCCCCCCTGTCCATGTAATCGTATTAATTGTGATCTAAAAGGCTCAACGGATCCTACATCAGCACTCCTCTGAGACGCTTCAGACATACCTCATCTAAAATAATAGATTAGGTTTGCGACAGGGATTCTAGGCTTCTGCCAGCTAGAGGAAGTGTAGAAGGAAGTGTAGCAGGGTCGTAGCAAGTCCAAAGTGTGTGTGTGTGTGTGTGTGTGTCAGGATGCAGCTGCGGGCCAGGCGTCTCGGGTGGTGTGTGTGAAGGGAAGCAGGATGCGGGCAGGACAGATCAATTGTGAGACATCAGCGTATTCCTCACCAAAATACACCCGCTACACTACAATCAGAGAGAGAAAGGAGGAGAGCAGGCCATGAGGCTGACTGAGGGAGAGTTTATGCAGGTTAAAGTTAAATCACTCTTTACAGTACTACCTCATAATGCTAAGGTGATTCTTTATTTATTCAAATCATATAACATGCAAATGGGTCTACACAGACTGTTATGCACAATCTCCCTAGTAACCCTGTTTGATTTGAGTTTCTCCCACAATTCATTGCAATGTCTCTGTGTTTGCATGGCTTGGTGTTTTGATGTGTGTGGAGGGGGTGAATGTGGTTTGGTGGTAGGGCAGGGGCATCATGTCAGCTAAACCTAGGGAATGGATGGCAAAGGGACATTCTCCTCCAAGGAATGTTTATCCAATTGAAGCTCCTTTACTGCATTTCTACACAATTTAAAAACTCTAAAATGCAATTTGGAGCACAGCAAAAACAAGCAAAAATGACTCCAGACATTATCACCTTGTTGCTGTAGCTTCATTCACCTCAGTCAATAGGGGACTTAACATTCTAGAAAACCAGTGGAGGCTGCTGAGGGGAGGATGGCTCATTTTAATGGCTGGAACTGAGCAAAAGGAATAATATCAAACACCTGGAAACCATGTGTTTGTTGTATTTGTTACCATTCCACGTATTCCACTGCAGCCATTACCACGAGCCCGTTCTCCCCAATTAAGGTACCAACAACCTCCTGTGCTACAAACATGTCATACAAGAATTAGCTGCTATGCACTAGCTCAGCACCAGGATTAAAACTCTAGTTTGGTTTCATGTCAAGTCAAACAGCAGTTACCTAGCCAAAGCCATCTACTACAGCCATCTTTACCTCTGCACTGTTTTGAGAAAAGGTTGCGCTGTTCCCTGCAGCTGCGTGATGTTCTCTCCATAAAGCCATTCATCCATCCATACAAACAGCCTTCCCTCCTGCTCCTAGGTGTCTGCATGGTCCTAAAGTCAGCCCGTATAGTTCTGCTAAACTGCATTTGCCTTTTAATCAGGATTTTAATTATTTTAGAAGCCTATTTTAAATTGTTTGTGTTGTAGTGTATGGCGACTGCCATATCCAATTGACACCCCTGTGATTAGATTAGAAGATGACATGGATATGTTATGGAACAGCAGGGTGCATGTGATGAGTGTGTCTCAAGCGACACGTTTGTGTTGGTGGGAGTGTGTGTGTGTGTGTGCGTGGGCATTTGTGTGGAGAGTGTGTGTGGGACTGGGTGAGAGACTGAGGCAACAGGCTGGGGAATCTTCCATGCACACAGTCCTTGAGGCTCTTGGCTCTGCCACTTCCTGGACTGTGTCCCAAATGGCACCCTATTCCCTACATAGGGAATAGGGTGCCAGTTGGGGATGCATACCTGGATATTTCAGGAGCAGATCTATTATTGATCAGGGTCCTGCTGGTCACCAGAGAGACAACATGGCTGCCAGTCTGACTCACTGACTGAGCAAAATGTGAGACTCACACCGGAAGGAGAGGGAAGGAGGGAGACAGAGAGAGAGACAGAGACAGAGAGAGGGCAATCTGAGAACAGCCTAGGGGTTGGATGCAGTGGGAAAGGAAAGGAGAAGGACATTTGGAGCAAAATAAACCAATACGTAGCAACTACCAGTAACATAATGCCAGGAGGTGAGAGAGAGAGAAAGTGACTCTAAATGGCTGAAATGAAGAAGTGTTTTAGCAGCAGCTGCAGGGAAACATTTTATGAATAGGCATGGCTGTCTCCAGGGTAACAGAGATCATGTCCTTATCATCAGTGTATTTCAATGTATTCTGTCCTTTAACCCTGGAAGACGCAAGAACGCACACACACACACACCTAAAAACACCACATATACCTACTCAATACCTGTCACAATATATAGGCCTAGCTTTGGAAAAATGCTGAGTGAATATGTAATATGGTTTCATTACAATAACAACTTTGTTGTGTTTGTGAATCAGTTGAATATCCTGGTGGACACAGGCAGCAGTAACTTTGCAGTGGGGGCAGCTGCTCACCCTTTCCTCCGCAGATACTACCATCGCTCACTGTGAGTACCACGGGTTCTTATTACAATACACTGAAAGTGCTTGAAAACTTTACTGCTGACATGCACAATGCTTTGGGACCATATCAACAGTGGACTAATGCGTAAACTATCCCTTTAAATATTATATTAAATATGAATCCCATTGAACAGTGAATCTCAGTGGGATCTCTCCCTTTTAGATTACCCTGCACATACTTCCCTTGGTGGACTTATACAGTAAGCACCTTTTCTCCCCTGCTGTTCATAGGTCTAACTCCTACCGCGACCTTGGGCGCAGTGTTTACGTACCCTACACCCAGGGCCGCTGGGAGGGCGAGCTGGGCACTGACCTGGTGTCTGTGCCGCACGGCCCCAATGCCTCGCTCCGTGCCAACATCGCTGCCATTACCCAGTCGGACCGCTTCTTCATCAACGGATCCAACTGGGAGGGCATCCTGGGCCTGGCCTACGCCGAGATCGCCCGGGTGAGAGGGGGGGAGAGAGAGGGAGGGAAAGGGAAATGGGCTGGGCAGAAAACACATGGGTGAGAGGGGGGAAGAGGAAGATGGAGAGGGAGGGAGAGAGGGAAAAGAGAGAGGGCTGAGCAGAGATTGCCTGGGTGAGGGAGGGGGGGAGGGAGAGAGTGATCAGCTAGAGGGTCACTGGTGAGGGTAATGTGGAAAATGCACAGTGATGGATTTGTGGAGATACAATGTCAGTTTAGGCTTGTTGTCAACAAGATGGCTAAAATTACCACAGAATTGTTTTAGATTTTTCAACCCCCTCACTTTAATATAGTTATCCGTTACCCATCTTTAAATCCTTTCTAAATCCTCTAAATCCCCCATATCTGTTTAGCCTGATGAGACGCTGGAGCCTTTCTTTGACTCGCTGGTGCGGCAGACCCCCGTGCCCAACCTGTTCTCCCTGCAGATGTGTGGCGCAGGGTTCACCCAGAACTACAGCCTGGGCAGTGCCACCGTGGGTGGCAGCATGGTGAGAGAGATAGACATACAGTCGATAGGAAAAGGCACAGACACATTTTCTGTTTGAGGGAAATACACAGAAGTGGTGTGTTGTGTTAGTGTAACCAAGAGGGTTATATATAGAGATTGTATGTGCCAGGCAGGTAGGTCAGTATTGTTTAGTTATAATTTGTATTGCAAAGGCAATATGAAATGGAAAGTGTGTTGAGAGTTTTGGACCCAGCCTATGATACTGTCTGATTTGCTGTTTTCTTAGATCATTGGTGGAGTGGATTCTTCCCTCTATGTTGGGGACCTGTGGTACACCCCGATCCGCCGGGAGTGGTATTATGAGGTCATCATTGTGCGCATTGAGGTCAATGGTCAGGATCTCAACATGGACTGCAAGGAGGTGAGATACTGTAGCTGACGGGTTTGCTGAAGACCCTTTAATCAACATTATCCTCCCTATTTCATTCCACTTTCTCTTTAATATCCAAAGCGACTTATAGGCATGTGTGCGTACATTTTAAGTAAGGGTGGCCCCTTCTCTTTTTATATTTTATTTGCTCCTGTATTCTCTTTAGTTAATCCTGAATATCTATCTATCACTAATAATGGTGTGTCACGTTCGTCTAAGGAGGGAGAGGACCAAGGCGCAGCGTTGAAGGCAAACATATTCTTTATTTAGCGATAGTGAATACTAACAAAACAATAAACGATAACGTGATGTCCACGGTCTAGCACAAAACCACACTGGAACAAAAACCCACAAACACAACGGGAAAGACACAGTTTAAATATGGCTCCCAATCAGAGACAACCAGCCCCAGCTGACACTCGTTGCCTCTGATTGGGAGTCACTCAGGCCAACATAGAAATACAAACATAGAACTACACACCCTGGCTCAACATAACAGTTTCCCCAGAGCCAGGGCGTGACATGGTGCAGTAAGTGACAGTGAATAAAGAATGACAATTTGTTTCCTCTCTCTTGGCTTGTGTTTCTATCAGTACAACTATGATAAGAGCATTGTGGACAGCGGCACCACCAACCTCCGGCTCCCTCGCAAAGTGTTCCAGGCAGCCGTGAAGGCCATCGAGGCAGCCTCGTCTGTGAGTCCCTCCTCATACCTTTTCTCATCTCTCTCTCACTCCCCCTCTCTCTCTGTTGTTTTGTTCCCTCTCTTCTTTGTAGCTGACAGTTTCAGCTAGTGTCATGTGAAATCCCCTTTCTCAGGTTTAATGTCTGTAATAGTTTCATAGCTATCATCTTTCTCTAGTTTCTGCAATTGCTAAATATTCTTTATATCCCTCTCTCCCACGCACACACACACACACACACACACACACACACACACACACACACACACACACACACACACACACACACACACACACAAACCCCATGTCTTCTTATCAGACGGAGCAGTTTCCCTCTGGGTTCTGGTTGGGGGAGCAGCTGGTGTGCTGGCAGGCTGGCACCACCCCGTGGCACATCTTCCCTGTCATCTCGCTCTACCTAATGAGTGAGAACCGCAACCAGTCCTTCCGCATCTCCATTCTCCCACAGGTAACAGTGTCTGTCTGTGTACTTACCTGTCATTGAATACAATACATCTTCATTATTCAATTAATCAATTCAATGATCTAATGATGATCCTATCTTAAACTCCTTTCACTTTTCATTCAATTTAGATGTGTTGAGAACTACAGAGAGTATTTGATGTATGTTATTCCAATCAGAGACTGGACCTTGGAGATAGTGGTGATTAATATAATCACTGTTTCAATGGCAATGAGATAGAAGTGGAGAGCAGCTTGTATTGGGACAGTAGAGGCAGTCAGCGCTGGCCTTGAACCTTCGACTAGCAACAGTTAACATTGATAATTAATGTTAAGCTTGTATAAAATTGTTGAAAGTAGTGAGTATATTCCTCACTCATGCACGGACTGGTTAGTTCATGCTTACACCAAACCCAAACTGCATAGACAAGCACAAAAAAGTGTTGTGAGCTTATTATCCTATTGCTGTATTTCTCCTGGTTTATACTTACCATCCATTGTAGGTGTTCTCTACTGACTGACGTCCGCTGTTTCTTTGTGCCCCCTGCAGCAGTACCTGCGACCCGTGGAGGACGTGGCCTCGGCCCAGGAGGACTGCTATAAGTTTGCCGTATCCCAGTCCAGCACGGGCACCGTCATGGGCGCCGTCATCATGGAGGGCTTCTATGTGGTGTTCGATCGCCAGAGGAAACGCATCGGATTCGCCGTCAGCACCTGCCATGGTGAGGGGGGGCGGAGGGAGTATGAGAAGGAGGGAGAGGGGGAGATGGTATATATATACACTACCAGTCAAAAGTTTGGACACACCTACTCATTCAAGGGTTTTTCTTTATTTTTACTATTTTTTACATTGTAGAATAAGAGTGAAGACATCAAAACGATGAAATAACGCATATGGAATCATGTAGTAACCAAAAAAGTGTTAAACAAAAATAAAATGTATTTTATATTTGAGATTCTTCAAATAGCCACCCTTTGCCTTGATGACAGCTTTGCACCCCCCCCTTTTACTTTTTTTACTTTAGTTTATTTAGTAAATCTTTTCTTAAAACTGCATTGTTGGTTAAGGGCTTGTAATTAAGCATTTCACGGTAAGGTCTACACCTGTTGTATTCGGCACATGTGAGGAATAAAATGTGATTTGATTTGATTTGATATCAGGAAATCAGTCAATTTAAATAAATTATTTAGGCCCTAATCTATGGATTTCACATGACTGGGCAGGGGTGCAGCCATTGGTGGGCCTGGGAGGGCATAGGCCCACCCACTTGGGAGCCAGGCCCACCCACTGGGGAGCCAGGCCCAGCCAATCAGAATGTGTTTTTCCCCACAAAAGGGCTTTATTACATACAGAAATACTCCTCAGTTTCATCAGCTGTCCGGGTGGCTGGTCTCAGACGATCCTGCAGGTAAAGAAGCCGGATGTGGAGGTCCTGGGCTGGAGTGGTTACACGTGGTCTGCGGTTGTGAGACCGGTTGGACGTACTGCCAAAGGCGGCTTATAGTAGAGAAATGAACATTACATTCTCTGGCAACAACTCTGGTGGACATTCCTGGAGTCAGCATGCCAATTTCACACTCCCTCAAAACTTGAGACATCTGTGGCATTGTGTTGTGTGACAAAACGGCACATTTTAGAGTGGCCTTTTATTGGCCCCAGCACAAGGTGCACTTGTGTAATGATCATGCTGTTTAATCAGCTTCTTGATATGCCACACCTGTCAGGTGGATGGATTATATTGGCAAAGGAGAAATGCTCTCTAACATGGATGTAAACACATTTGTGCACAACATTTGAGAGAAATAAGCTTTTTGTGCGTATGTAAAATTTCTGGGATCTTTTATTTCAGCGCATGAAACATGGGACCAACACTTTACATGTTGCGTTTATATTTTTGTTCAGTGTATATATACACTGAGTGAAAAAAACATTATAAACACCTGCTCTTTCTATGACATAGACTGACCAGGTGAATCCAGGTGAAAGCTATGATCCCTTATTGATGTCACTTGTTAAATCCACTTCAATCAGTGTAGATGAAGGGGAGGAGACATGTTAAAGAAAGATTTATGTGTGTGTGCCTGTATGTATGTTGCTGATCTATGTGTATTTCTATGCCACAGTGCACGATGAGTTCCGCACGGCCTCCGTTGAGGGGCCGTTCCACGGCGTGGACCTGGAGGACTGCGGCTACAACATCCCGCAGACGGACGAGTCCACCCTCATGACCATTGCCTACATCATGGCGGGCATCTGTGCCCTCTTCATGCTGCCACTGTGCCTCATGGTGTGCCAGTGGCGCTTCTCCCGCTGCCTCCGCCCACCTGGAGCTGGGGACTTGGCTGATGATATCTCACTCCTCAAATGATAGAGAGGCATGGACATACAGTACACAGGAGAGGCAAGCCTACCAGAAATGGAAATGGAGGCTTTTCTTATTGTTGTTGAGGGCACATCAGCCTCATTGAGTAATGCAGAAACAGATTAACATGTAGGATGGTGTTGGTTGTGGTTTGGGCGGGTAGCACAATGACCAAATAAGCCAATGGCCACTTACTTTGGATTCATCAAAGGTGGATATACCAGCAAGCTGGGTTAAATGGCTTCCTGGATTCAGTGGACAACTTTATTGATAGAAGGGCATGATATAAATATACAGTATGGATAGGTGTGTGTGAGTGTTTGTGATTGTATGAGGTATGTATGTACACTACCGGTCAAAAGTTTTAGAACACCTACTCATTCAAGGGTTTGCCTTTATTTTTTTTTACTATTTTCTACATTGTAGAATAATAGTGAAGACATCAAAACTATGAAATAACACATATGGAATCATGCAGTAACCAAAAAAGTGTTAAACAAATCAAAATATATTTATATTTGAGATTCTTCAAATAGCCACTGTTTGCCTTGATGACATCTTTGCGCACTCTTGGCATTCTTTCAACCAGCTTCAACTGGAATGCTTTTCCAACAGTCTTGAAGGAGTTCCCACATATGCTGAGCACATGTTGGCTGCTTTTCCTTCACTCATCCCAAACCATCTCAATTTGGTTGAGGTCGGGGGATTGTGGAGTCCAGGTCATCTGATGCAGCACTCCATCACTCTCCTTCTTGGTAAAATAGCCCTTAGACAGCCTGGAGGTGTGTTGGGTCTTTGTCCTGATGAAAAACAAATGATAGTCCCACTAAGCCCAAACCATATGGGATGGCGTATTGCTGCAGAATGCTGTGGTAGCCATGCTGGTTAAGTGTGCCTTGAATTCTAAATAAATCACAAACAGTGTCACCAGCAAAGCACCCCCACACCATAACACCTCCTCCTCCATGCTTTACGGTGGGAAATACACATGCGGAGATCATCCATTCACCCACACCGCGTCTCACAATGACACGGCAGTTGGAACCAGTCTCTTCTTCTTATTGGTGAGCTTTAGTAATGATTTCTTTGCAGCAATTCGACCATGAAAGCCTGATTCACACAGTCTCCTCTGAACAGTTGATGTTGAGATGTGTCTGTTAGTTGAACTCTGTGAAGCATTTATTTGGGCTGCAATTTCTGAGGCTGGTAACTCTCATGAACTTCCTTTCCTGTGGCAGTCCTCATGAGAGCCAGTTTCATCATAGCGCTTGATGGTTTTTGCAACTGCACTTGAAGAAACTTTAAAAGTTCTTGAAATTTTCCCTATTGACTGACCTTCATGTCTTAAAGTAATGATGGACTGTCATTTCTCTTTGCTTATTTGAGCTGTTCTTGCCATAATATGGACTTGGTCTTTTACCAAATAGGGATATATTCTGTATACCACCCCTACCTTGTCACACCACAACTGATTGGCTTAAACGCATTAAGAAGGAAATAAATTCCACAAATGAACCCTTAAGAAGGCACACCTGTTAATTGAAATGCATTCCAGGTGACTACCTCATGAAGCTGGTTGAGAGAATGCCAAGAGTGTGTAAAGCTGTCATCAAGGCAAAGAGTGACTATTTGAAGAATCTCAAATATAAAAATATATTTGGATATGTTTAACACTTTTTTGGTTACTACATGATTCCATATGTGTTATTTTATAGTTTTGATGTCTTCACTATTATTCTACAATGTAGAAAATAGTAAAAATAAAGAAAAACCCTTGAATGAGTAGGTGTTCTAAAACGTTGTATGTATGTATGAATGTGTGTTTATGGTTTATGGATCACATATACAAATTAGGTGATCTAGAATTTAAGGATGGACCTGATTATTGAATATATTTGTTTGATTTTACATCAACAGTACCAGCTAAGGAACGCTAATCATGAGTGCTAACTGGGTGAACTTTTCAAGAGAGTAAAATTAGCACTCAAATATCAGATGCAATGAACTTTTATGGTGAAGCCATGTTACTTGGTGTACATTAAGAAGCTTAGATTATGTATTTAATACAGTTAATATCAGATATGACACTTTTATATGGCTCTTGTTGATTAAGTTGGTACATCACCTCACTGCTAGTGAATGTACTAATTCACACAAAAAGACAAGCACGGACACACACTTGCACGCACACACACACACGCAATGATTCTCCCACTCATACAGAGGTCTTCAAAACCTCCAAATAGCTTGAACATCACAGCCAACCCCTTAACAGCTCACATACAAAAACTCACCGACACAGACCCGGACAGTAACACACATTCATGTGCCCCAGTCAACTGCACTATCCCCATGGTGCGCTTGAATATAAATAGTTTTGAGATGATTTTATGTAAATGACCACAATAGTAAAATGTCTCAATGAGGGACAGATTCTACTTTCATCAACCTGCTGTAAATACATCTGAAATGTATATCTGTCAGATGCACCTGACACTGCACTGACCACAGACTACCAATAAATAAAGTAACAAATATAACTGAATCTGTGTCATGAGATTAATTCCCCTTCCCTGATGAGCGGGATACAGACATCTGGACTTATAATGTCACTATTGTGTAAATCAATCCTGCATCTTGTATTGCCACATTTCATGTAGGTTGAAAATACTGAAAAAGGTCTCTAAGTAAAATACCAAATACTGCAGTATCATGATTAGAATAACCAATAACTTAAGTTATATTTTGGAAGAATAAATGGGAATATATCATTCATTTAAAAGTCTAAAAATTTATGTAGCAACTTAATAATTCCTAGAGGTTATGATTATCTAGCTGTGAGAGATCTGTACATTTCAACCACCTGTTAACCTACCTAGGTCTCAGCCTGGGTACCAGTCTGTTTAGCATGACAAGGAGTGCAATGATGGCTAAACATACTGGTACACATAATAACAGACTAGATCTCCCCCAAGTGGAGAAACAAATTATAGACGGCGAAGTTGTTGCGGAAGTGACAGTCTCTCAGGTGACAGCCAAATAGCTATCGTAAATGAAATTGTCGTCCACAAATAAACTGTAGAATAAAGACTTCGACGAAAAGGTAAAATACATAAATCAGTATGAAATTTAGCCATGTGATTATAGAACTTGCTTGCGTGTTGAGGGCTAGCTAACGTTAGCTGGCTAGCTCTGACAACAACATCCGCTTGTCACTTGAGCCATACTGTCAGTTTATAGCTAGTGTAGGAAGATTAACTAAGGAGTTCTCTGGCTATTTACATAGCTAATTAGCTGTTGAATAACAAAAATACAGTTAGCTATGTGTTTCGCTATTTTGTTTCCGTCGCTGTCTGTTATGAAACGAGCTTCCAAACTGCTGTACTGTAACGTTAGCTAGGACTGCAGCTAACTACAGTAGCTAGGAGTAACGAGCTAGCCTACGTTACTGTACAGATAACTACACTTTCGAAACAAGCAACATTGGGGTTTTACATCGGTGTATGATATCTAGCCATCTAACGTTAGCTAACTAGCTATGTCAAGTTGATTCAATTTATTTTGGAATTGGGAGATAGGAGGCTGAGTTAACTAGCTAGTTTCGTAGAAGTAGGCCTAACATGTTTTTCTTAAAATGTGTAAAAGTGTGAACATCTGTCAACATTGATATCCATACTCAATTTCTTTACTACTGATTAATGACACTGTTGACCTTGCCCTAGCCCCATAATGGATTAAAGCAGGGTTTCCCAACCCTCTCCTCGGCTCCCACAAACGTTTCACATGTCTTCCGTCTGTTTTCCATAAACAAGTGCTGTAGCATGGAAATATGGCGGTGTGGGAACCCAAACCCTATTTAGCGTCTATGAATGGGCTATCCCTGCCCAAGTGTTGATGTCTTTGGAATAACTTGTTGAACGACCCAGAAATGACAACCCAAGTCTTTCCCTTTGTTGATGTAGCCTAGCTTATTCTGCTTTGAAAACTAAATTATCTCATCTTAATTTACAAGCTTGACAAAGTGTGTACAAGTGGGTTCAAATGGCCTCTGTCCGCACCCAGTAAAAAACAACAATATTTGTGTGAAATCGTGTCAGGAGAAGTCTGTGTGTGCTGTAACATGAATAACACACATGGGTTGTCTTAGTCGGGTTATAGTACTATTCTTTCCTAACAGAGAAAAAGGACATGTCAATACTCAGCAAAATATGCGTTGCCCGAGATGGCTTTGGCATTTTGTAGAACTTGAGTTGATTCATATGCTACATGGATTTGTCCTTCTATTCTGTGGTTAGACTAGCCTATCATTAGCAGGATTGTAGTGTCACATGGATATGGTACAACAAGTACCAGCCGCCTCTCCAGTGTTAGTGTCATTAACAGCACAATGTTATATAGGGCTGGTGCAGTGATTGGCTGGAGTTCTGATATGAACAGTGTGCCAATGAAGGATTTGTACCAGTGCATTACTTTGAGGGCTGTTGAATATGAGAACTAGGCTGTTGTTGTGAAATCTCGCTACTGCCTTTTGAATACCACATTGCAGTGGAGCCATCGCTCCCTCTTCTGTGTGTTCAGCTACCTTCTCTACTCCTCCTCACCACTCTGTCTCCCCAGGCTGCAGGTCCTAATGTGGAGACGGAGCAGAACTTGCGTTGAGCACGTGCCTGTGTTGCCATGGGTTCACCCCCCTTGTTCCTGCTCCTCCTGGGCCTGACCCCTATGCTCCTCCTGACTGTTCATACCCTCCACACGTCCGCCCCTCCCCTGGCTCCTCCCCCCTCCTGTGGGCCGGGCCAGTCCTGGGCCGTCCGGTTGCACACAGACTCAGAGCTGCTGGAGGCTGAAGGCACCAGCCTGCACGAGCTGGCCAGCAGGGTGGCTGAGCAGGCAGGCCTGGAGAACAGGGGCCAGATAGGGCAGCTGGAGGGCCATTACCTGTTCTGTGCCGGGTCCGAGGAGGAGGGCAGGCCGGGGGACGTGCTGGCAGCCCACCCTCATGTGCTCTGGCACTCCCAGGAGCATGTCCTCAGCCGCTCCAAGAGGGCAATGGCCTTCAACGACCCCAGATACCCCTTACAGTGGCACCTGGTGAGAATTAGGCGTAATTTGTCTTCTTTTATTTGTCTTCAGAACTGTTTCATAGCAAAGCAACATTTAGATATACTTACTGCACATTTTAGCCTATAGAATATTCAGATATGTAAGAATGCACAGTACTTTTTTAACTGAGTCGGCTATATGCCACGTTTATTTTCATTCCTCATTTGCTAACGAACAATGTCTTCGACTCTAACCTGTCACTTCCCCGCTCTTCTCCTCCTCCATCCACTCTTTCTTCCTCCTCTCCACCCACCCGCAGCACAACGATGTCAGGCCGGGCATGGACATCAATGTGACTGGTGTATGGGAGCGCAACATCACAGGGACAGGGGTGACAGTGGTGGTCGTGGACGATGGGGTTCAGCACACCCTCCAGGATATTCAGCGAAACTATGTGAGTTTCATGCTGGCCACATCTAGGCCTATTTCCTTTTAAGCTTTTTGCCATTAAAAGGCATAAGCTAACGCACACCACAAAATATTTTGTAGAGGTTCTGACTAACGGAGAGTAAACTATAAAAAGAAAGAAAGTAAGTTGTGTACTGTAATTATGCTCCCAAATATTTCATGGGTATCGCAACCAACGTTCCCGCACGCACTGCCTTCTTCAGGGTTAGGGTTCAATGCTCTGAAGAAGGCACTGTGTGCCAAAACGTTGGTTGCTATACCCATAAAATATTTGGGAGCATAATTTCTTTCTTTTTAAAGCTTTTTGCTTTTGTCATTATGTAGTATGTTCTTTTCCAAATTCACATGCTTTAGTCTTCCCAAATACAAATGTTCTTGTGCTTCATTCTGTCCCTTTAGAGTCCAGAGGGCAGTTATGACTTGAACTCCAACGACCCAGACCCCATGCCCCACCCGGACGCCCGCAGTGACAACCACCACGGCACGCGCTGCGCCGGGGAGATCGCTGCTGTCTCCAACAACAGCTTCTGCGCTGTGGGCGTGGCCTATGGCAGTAAAGTGGCAGGTACGTTGTGTGTTTGGAAAGCTTGGTTATTGTGACGGGGTTGTATTCATTAGTGCAAACCGTAGCAAATAGTTTTGCACGGAAAATGAACATTTGTGTTGCTTATTGGACAAGATCAGGTAGTCCCTCCCTATTTGTCAGTTTTCTTTAGTTTGGTGCCTAGGGGGGAATTCAGACCCAAGTTACCCGTGCATAAATGGAAGTTTATTCCCTTTTTATGCACTTTTCTCTCAACGAGTATTCTGATCTTGAACTTGAGCATTAGGAAACGCATGTGACAGCCAGCTAAACGCTTGGGGTGGGTATCATAGAAATTGAGGTGGCAGAGGTGTACGCCGTATTCTGACCTTGACTTAATTCCCTCATAGCTCCACCACCGTTACGCGCAAGGAACCCATGAATAAGGTAGAGCACCTGTCGGTTCCAAGTGGAAAAACATCAACTATTTCCGATATAAATAATACCATTCTCCATGCATGGTAATGTATAAATTGATAAGCGCTAGATAAATGAGTAATCCGTTTGAAGAAGGGGATTGTAATTGCAAATAGCAATTGTTTTAGATTATTGCTAGAGACTGTGAAACCAGTCATAGAAGCAAACTGAAAATAAAATCAACATGACATGTATTTAGGCCCCTTTTACAGTGCATTCGGAAAGTATTCAGACCCCTTGACTTTTTCCACATTTTGTTACGTTACAGCCTTATTCTAAAATGTATTAAATTGTTTTCCCCCCTTATCAATCTACACACAATACCCCATAATGACAAAGCAAAAACAGGTTTTTAGAAAGGTTTGCTAAAAAAAAAGAAAAAGAAATATCACATTTACATAAGTATTCAGACCCTTTACTCAGTACTTTGTTGAAGCACCTTTGGCATCGATTACAGCCTCGAGTCTTCTTGAGTATAACGCTACAAGCTTGGGACACCTGTATTTGGGGAGTTTCTCCCATTCTTCTCTGCAGATCCTCTTAAGCTCTGTCAGGTTGGATAGGGAGCATCGCTGCACAGCTATTTTCAGGTCTCTCCAGAGATGTACGGTTGGGTTCAAGTCCGGGCTCAGGCTGGGCCACTCAAGGACATTCAGAGACTTGTCGTGAAGCCACTCCTGCATTGTCTTGGCTGTGTGCTTAGGATCGTTGTCCTGTTGGAAGGTGAACCTTCGCCCCAGTCTGAGGTCCTGAGCACTCTGGAGCAGGTTTTCATCAAGGATCTCTCTGTACTTTGCTCCGTTCATCTTTCCCTCGATCCTGACTAGTCTCCCAATCCCTGCCGCTGAAAAACATCCCCACAGCATGATGCTGCCACCACCATGCTTCACCGTAGGGATGGTGCCAGGTTTCCTCCAGACGTGACGCTTGGCATTCAGGCCAAAGAGTTCAATCTTGGTTTCATCAGACCAGAGCATCTTGTTTCTCATGGTCTGAGAGTAATTTAGGTGCCCTTTGGCATACTCCAAGCAGGCTGTCATATGCCTTTTACTGAGGAGTGTCTTACGTCTGGCCACTCTACCATAAAGGCCTGATTGATGGAGTGCTGCAGAGAGGGTTGTCCTTCTGGAAGGTTCTCCCATCTCCACAGAGGAACTGTGGAGCTCTGTCAGAGTGACCATCGGGTTCTTAGTCACCTCCCTGACCAAGGCCCTTCTCCCCCGATTGCTCAGTTTGGCCTGGCGGCCAGCTCTAGTCTTGGTGGTTCCAAACTTCTTCCATTTAAGAATGATGGAGGCCACTGTGTTCTTGGGGACCTTCAATGCTGCAGAAATGTTTTGGTACACTTCCCCAGATCTGTGCCTCGACACAATCCTGTCTTGGAGCTCTACGGACAATTCCTTCAACCTGATGGCTTGGTTTTTGCTCTGACATGCACTGTCAACTGTGGGACCTTATAAGACAGGTGTGTGCCTTTCCAAATCATGTCCAATCAATTGAATTTACCACAGGTGGACTCCAATCAAGTTGTAGAAACTTGTAGAAACTTATCTAAGAGGATCAATGGAAACAGGATGCACCTGAGCTCAATTTCAAGTCTCATAGCAAAGGGTCTGAATACTTATGTGAATAAGTTATTTCTGTTTTTTATTTGTAATACATTTGCAAAAATGTCTAAAAACCTGTTTTCGCTTTGTCATTATGGGGTATTGATGAGGATTTATTTTATTCATTTTAGAATAAGGCTGTAAAGTAACAAAATGTGGTAAAAGTCAAGGGGTCTGAATACTTTCCGAATGCACTGTATACAGTGAAGTAGGCTATAATTAGCTTTGCCGTTCGTCATAATTTGCGTGGATGAAATTTGGAGACCCAAGCTATAGGCTTCTGTAGCACCAAACCTACCGAGTTGATTTATGCGCTCTAGAATGTTTTAATTATATGCACAGGCTATTCTCAGTTTTTCTTTAATTTGTATCATGCTAAATATTAGCCACTATCGGTAGCCACTGTCAGTAATTCCCACATACATTTATAACTGCCATTTTAGTGTTAGTTTCCTTCAATTTGTAGCCTACATTTTTCATCATTCCATTCAGTTCCGTTTACCATTCTTTCCTCTGTCATGTCCGTGTAGTTGTTTCTGAGCATTGCTAGCAATAGTGGAACATATTAGGCTAACGTTGTGCAGTAATTTGGGACATGTTAGCCTATTATTTCAATCATTATGGAACTCATACCACACACAGTTTGAGCCTGGTGCACAGTTCACAATGACTGGATCGTTGTCATACAGTTCCATGATTAGTAGGGTAGGTTTATAGGACTATTGGTCAACTCCTGTTATACACTTTTCTCACCTTCCAATATTTTATGGATTGAACAATTTGAATATGGCAACTTTCAGGATGAATCAAACCATATATTTTGTACGTAAAGGGTCTCCAAACCTGTTTTTTTATGATTCATAAATACTTTTCTAAGCCTAAATTTTCTACAATATTAGAGTATTTTAAAATCGACCAATTGTTGCTTTCTTTTATTGATCCCTAATATTCGGAACCCTTTCTCTCTATATGTTATATTGTCAGTCGAGAAAATTCAAATTAAAGGTACACAGTATTTTAAAGGGATGGCTTTAGATACATGTACTGAAAACCCCATTGAATGAAAACTCCATGAGGAAATCTGTTGGCCAGCAAGTGGGAGGGTTTTCAGCAGTTTCAGTAAATGTATTCAGTGAGCATAATGGAGCCACTCCCAAAGAGCTCATTTCGCACCTGCATAAGGTAAGTCTGAATACCAAATACTGAGAAGTGCTTAAATCAAAACGTGTAGGAAAGGCATACATTTCCTAAGTCTGAATCGGGCCCCTAGTGAATACAACTCTGGTCTCGTCAGGTGCTGAGGAAAATATCATGGCCCTAGTTATGTAGATGGTGCTATGAAATTCTTATGTTTTGAAGTCCTTTCTTCACGTCATGTTTTGTCTGTTCAGGTATCAGAGTCCTGGATGGGCCGCTCACAGACAGTATGGAGGCAGTGGCTTTCAACAAGCACTACCAGATCAACGATGTCTACAGCTGCAGGTACAACCGTGTACAGCTCAGCCTCACATGACTCTGAACATGCTTGGTTTGCTTATAATCTCAGCATAAAGCAAACTACTAACAGGAATATACAGCCAACCACAGCTCTATGCATGGTTATAAAGATATGCCCTTCTCTCTCTCTAGACTTTTCCCACGGTGCTCTTCAGTGGCTATAGGAAAAATGTGTCTCAACTGTCCTCTCCTCTTTCCTCCTCCTCCTCAGTTGGGGTCCTGATGATGATGGCCGCACTGTCGATGGACCACACCCCTTGGGCAAGGTTAGCGTGGATACAACATGCGTTACTCCACACAACCCATTTCTAACACGTATTGCCAGTCCTAGTCTCTTTATAGAAATGCATTATGAAAATGCATTTCTGCACCACTCTTCTGTACCAGCAGAGGGCAGTATACTGTTGCACTACAGGGCACAGTTTGTGTGAAAAAAGAGAAAGCACATCCCTTACACACATGCATGCACATAGACACACACACACACACACACACACACACACACTCTGACTCGAGACAGAGTGTCTGGCTTTTTCTGGTCATGTTCGTTGCCTAGGTGTTCCTCACTCCCTGAATGGCTTTGGCAGGCACTGTGGAAATGAATCAGAACTACCAAATCCCCCCAGCCAGTCCTCATGGTCTAATAGAAAGGCATGATAGCTGCGGCTTCCAGCTTTTCACAAACCTAAGAATGGAGGTATACACACATAGTGATCATATAATTATATGATTATAGTGACATACACTGAGTACACAAACATTAGAAACACCTCAGAACAGTCTCGTTGGGGCATGGACTCTACAGCTGTTGAAAGCATTCCACAGGGATGCTGGCCCATGTTGACGCCAATGCTTCCCACAGTTGTGTCAAGTTGACAGGATGTCCTTTGGGTGGTGGACCATTATTGATACACACAGGAAACTGTTGAGCGTGAAAAACCCAGCAGCGTTGCAGTTCTTGACACAAACCGGTGTGTCTGGCAGCTACTACCATACCCTGTTCAAAGGCACTTCAATATTTTGTCTTGCCCATTCACCCACTGAATGATACACATGCACAATCCATGTCTCAAGGCTTATAAATATTTTTTTTTACCGGTCTCCTCCCCTTCATCTACACTGATTTGAAGTGGATTTAACAAGTGACAGCAATAAGGGATCATAGCTTTCAGCTGGATTCACCTGGTCAGTCTATATCATGGAAGGAGCAGGTGTTCTTGATGTTTTCTATACTCAATATTGAATATTCAGGTATGACTAGGCCTGTGAATGCTGCTCACCAATGAGGAGCCTTGTTAACCATTTTAAAATGTTGCTATATACTCTGGTTGGCTGTATTAGTCTACAAGAAGTTACTAGGTGTGACTAACTGAAGCGAATGTTTCCTTGTTTTGCCGGAAGGCGGCGCTGCAGCACGGAGTTATTGCTGGCAGAAGGGGCTTCGGCAGTATCTTTGTCGTCGCCAGTGGCAACGGGGGCCAATACAAGGACAACTGCAACTACGATGGCTATGCTAACTCAATCTACACTGTTACCATTGGTAAGTGAATAGGAGCAATGTTATATGTCTCTGTGTCTGTGTGTTGAGTGTTTCTAATCGTGTGTATGTGTGTCTCTTGTAGGAGCAGTAAATGAGGAAGGGAAGATGCCCTTCTATGCTGAGGAGTGTGCCTCCATGCTGGCTGTCACCTTCAGCAGTGGGGCCAGATCGCTACGCAGTATTGTGAGTCTGTACTGATAGTAACACACACACCATTTAGGGCGTTTTCACACATAGTTCTGAGCTATAGTTCGAATCAGAGTTATTTGTTACATTGTATTTTTTTCATTTGGTCTGTTTGGTTTCATATCGCCAAATGTCAAACAAACTATAATTGTTATTTGTCTATTGGAGAAAAATGCTCTATGATTATCAACAAGCATAACTTGTGTATCCCAAATGTAATATTTATTTTGCTTTAGTCTTCCAACAACATGCGGGACTAAACAGCGCAATAGCCACTCTAACTCTGACCTGAATAGGCTATATTCCATAGCCTATATCCCCGGTATAGCCCCCCTCTCCCCTAATCTGCATCGGATGCGCTCATAAATGCGCTGCTACTCACAGAATGTTTCAGATATACCAAGTTATGGTACTGCGTGCATTTCATTTCATTAAATGCTCGCAGTCAAACAGCCAATAATACTGCGCACCTCTGGTGCTTTTCCTGTGTTTGGTCTGGACTGCATTCTCACCTGCAGTGAACTGCACCATGGTACGAATGGAATCCCCCTTACAAAGACTGGTTGCGCCTTGGCCCTTAAGACATACACACACTTTCTCAGTTCTGCCTGACTTTGTTGTCCTTAAGCCATTTTGCCACAACTTTGGGAGTATGCTTGGGGTCATTGTCCATTTTGAAGACCCATTTGCTACCAAGCTTTAACTTCCCGACTGATGTCTTGAGATGTTGCTTCAATATAACCACATAACTTTCCTTCCTCATGATGCCATCTATTTTGTGAAGTGCACCAGTCCCTCCTGCAGCAAAGCACCCCCACAGCATGATGCTGCCACTCCCGTTCTTCACGTTTGGGATGGTGTTCTTCGGCTTGCAAGCAGCCCCCTTTTTCCTCCAAACATAACGATGGTCATTATGGCCAAACAGTTCTATTTTTGTTTCATCAGACCAGAGGACATTTCTCCAAAAAGTATGATCTTTGTCCCCATGTGCAGTTGCAAACCGTAGTCAGGCTTTTTTATGGTAGTTTTGGAGCAGTGGCTTCTTCCATGCTGAGCGGCCTTTCAGGTTATGTCGATATAGGACTTGTTTTACTGTGGATATAGATAATTCTGTACCTGTTTCCTCCAGCATCTTCACAAGGTCCTTTGCTGTTGTTCTGGGATTGATTTGCACTTTTCACACCCAAGTACGTTCATCTCTAGGAGACAGAACGCATCTCCATCCTGAGTGGTATGACGGCTGCGTGGTCCCATGGTGTTAATACTTGCGTACTATTGTTTGTACAGATGAACGTGGTACCTTCAGGCGTTTGGATATTGTTCCCAAGGAAGAACCAGACTTGTGGAGGTCTACAATTTTCTTTCTGAGGTCTTGGCTGATTTCTTTTGATTTTCCCATGATGTCAAGCAAATAGGCACTGAGTTTGAAGGTAGGCCTTGAAATACATCCACAGGTACACCTCCAATTGACTCAAATTATGTCAATTAGCCTATCAGAAGCTTCTAAAGCCATCATTTTCTGGAATTTTCCAAGCTGTTTAAAGGCACAGTCAACTTAGTGTATGTAAACTTCTGACCCCAACTGTAGATTGATGAGAAAGTTAGACAGTCGGATAATAACAGATGATACTGTACTGTGCCAGACATCTTTGAATGAAGCAGAGAAGAGAACACATTGATGGCTAGTGAGTTAAAGGAAAACTCCACCCAAAAACTATCTTTTGGTATTTGTTTCATTAGTCCATTGTTGATATAGTCCCAGAATATGTTGCATGTCAGCAATAAAGTTTTCAAGATGCATAACTTTCAAAATACAGAAATAAAGCCAGTATGATGCATTTTGCATCATATGAAGCTGCGTTTTGAGCGTGGGCAAAGGAGAGGGTTTTAGGAAGGTAGAGAGGAGAGCTGTCAGGCAAAGCTCTCTGTTTGCTGCTGTTTGTTGCCATCTCCTGGGTAACATGGTTTGGCCGGGTGATGTAAGCCCTGGGTCAAAACCCTCAACTGGCATCCGTGACTTCCTGAAAAGCCAAATCCACCACTAAACACCAGGCCAAGTGGTGTTAGGGCTAGAGCTGTTCTACGCTGTCGCACGAGTGCGCTGCACATACTGGGTGTGTCCCAAATGGCACCCTATTCCCTATATAGTGCACTACCTTTGACCAGTAGTGCACTATACATGGAACAGGGTGCCATTTGGGATGCAGCCACTGCATCCACCCACCAGCCAACCACCTCTAGCTGCCATGTGCTATGCTACAGTGCTACCACTGCTATGTACCATTCCCTCATCACATTCACAACACATGGGTCCCATTTGATGTTGAGCAGTGCTGAAGTCTGTGAGCTCTCTCCTCCGCTCTGTGCTTTCATGGCTTTGACAGCTGCTTTAAATGAGAGAAGGCGTTCTAGTTAACATATGTCTGTGGATTCTTCCTCCGTCGCTTTCCCTCCATAGCAGAGAGCCTGTAGTACTCCTGTCAGACTGTCTGTCCTCTCTCCTCTCTTGTGTCCAACCAGGCCTGTCGTCACCTATGATCAAACACCCCTAGCTGTGTGTCTGTGTCACCAACGCTCCAGAGAGGACCCATACTCATGTGAAAGACAAGCTGTTTAGACAGCACTGTCTGCATGGTCTGGATCTGTACTGCATGGTCTGGATCTGTACTGCATGGTCTGGATCTGTACTACATGGTCTGGATCTGTACTACATGGTCTGGATCTGTACTGCATGGTCTGGATCTGTACTGCATGGTCTGGATCTGTACTGCATGGTCTGGATCTGTACTGCATGGTCTGGATCTGTACTGCATGGTCTGGATCTGTACTGCATGGTCTGGATCTGTACTGCATGGTCTGGATCTGTACTGCATGGTCTGGATCTGTACTGCATGGTCTGGATCTGTACTACATGGTCTGGATCTGTACTGCATGGTCTGGATCTGTACTACATGGTCTGGATCTGTACTGCATGGTCTGGATCTGTACTGCATGGTCTGGATCTGTACTGCATGGTCTGGATCTGTACTACATGGTCTGGATCTGTACTGCATGGTCTGGATCTGTACTGCATGGTCTGGATCTGTACTGCATGGTCTGGATCTGTACTATGGTCTGGATCTGTACTGCATGGTCTGGATCTGTACTGCATGGTCTGGATCTGTACTACATGGTCTGGATCTGTACTGCATGGTCTGGATCTGTACTGCATGGTCTGGATCTGTACTGCATGGTCTGGATCTGTACTGCATGGTCTGGATCTGTACTGCATGGTCTGGATCTGTACTGCATGGTCTGGATCTGTACTGCATGGTCTGGATCTGTACTGCATGGTCTGGATCTGTACTGCATGGTCTGGATCTGTACTGCATGGTCTGGATCTGTACTACATGGTCTGGATCTGTATTATATGGCTACGTCCCAAATGGCACCCTATTGCCTTTTATAGCATGTTTATCCGTTACCTCTCTTCCCACCTCGCAGAGATCATGTTTACCAGTGAATTCATCAGCAGCCCCTTTCTCTCTGCCGTCTCCCTGTCCCTGTGTTCCTATACATTTCTCTCTCTCCCTCCACTTCTCTCCCCTCCTTCACCCGTTCCTGTCTGTCTGTTTTAGCACTTCTCTCTACTTTTTCTCCTCCTTCAGCCCCTCTATCTCCAACTCTATCCATTTTTTCTGGCTTTTCCCTCTTTTCCTCCCTAGTCATTGCATAGCTCCTTACCACTGACTGTTTGTAATAGTGTGAGAGGGTGTGTTGTCTGCACACATGTTTATGACTCTTCTGTGTGTGTGTGTGTGTGTGTGTGTGTACTGTGTAGGTGACGTCAGACTGGTCACTGCAGCAGGGCACGGGCTGTACTGACGGGCACACGGGCACCTCGGCGGCGGCACCCCTGGCGGCTGGCATGGTGGCTCTGATGCTGCAGGTCCGGCCCTGTCTCACCTGGAGAGACGTGCAGCACATCATCACCTACACAGCCACACAGGTACAATATACATGACAACAGAGTGACATCACCTACACAGGTACAATATACATGACAACAGAGTGACATCACCTACACAGGTACAAATACATGACAACAGAGTGACATCACCTACACAGGTACAATATACATGACAACAGAGTGACATCACCTACACAGGTACAATATACATGACAACATAGTGACATCACCTACACAGGTACAATATACATGACAACAGAGTGACATCACCTACACAGGTACAATATACATGACAACAGAGTGACATCACCTACATGCCCTCTCAAGCACACTTCACGGTCATGCAGACATATACAGTGAGCTCCAAAAGTATTAGGACAGTGACACATTTTTTGTTGTTTTGGCTCGGTACTCCAGCACTTTGGATTTGAAATGATACAGTGACTATGAGGTTAATTGCTTTAATTTAAGGGTATTTTCATCCATATCGGGTGAACCATTTAGAAATTACAGCAATTTCCCCCCATTTTAGGGGACAAAAAGTATCAGGACAAATTAACTTACACTGAGTGTACAAAACATTAAGAACACCTGCTCTTTCCATGACAGACTGACCAAGTGAATCCAGATGAAACCTATGATCCCTTAATGATGTCACCTGTTAAATCCACGTCAATCAGTGTAGGTGAAGGGCAGGAGACAGGTTAAAGAAGGATTTTTAAGCCATGAGACAATTGAGACATGGATTGTGTATGTGTGCCATTCAGAGGGTGAATGGGCAAGACAAAATATTGAAGTGCCTTTGAACGGGGTATGGTAGTAGGGGTCAGGTGTACCGGTTTGTGTCAAGAACTGCAACTCTGCTGGGTTTTTCACACTCAACAGTTTCCCGTGTGTATCAAGAATGGTCCATCACCCAAAGGACATCCAGCCAACTTCACACAACTGTGGGAAGCATTGGAGTCAACATGGGCCAGCATCCATGTGGAACGCTTTCGACACCTTGTAGAGTCCATGCCTTGATGAATTGAGGCTGTTCTGAGGGCAAAAGGGGGAGGGGGTGCAACTCAATAATAGGAAGGTGTTCCTAATGTTTGGTGTACTCAGTGTATAGGTGTATTAAAGTAGTAAAAAGTGAAGTATTTGGCCCCATATTCATAGCACGGTGTCACTACATCAAGCTTGTGACTCTACACATTTGTTGGATTCATTTGCAGTTTGTTTTGATTGTGTTTCAGATTATTTTGTGCCCAATAGAAATGAATGGTAAATAATGTATTGTGTCATTTTAGAGTCACTTTTATTGTAAATAAGAATAGAATATGTTTCTAAACACTTCTACATTAATGTGGATTCTAACATGATTACAGATAATCCTGAATGAATCGTGAATAATGATGAGTGAGAAAGTTATAGGCACCAAGATCATACCCCCAAGACATACTAATCTCTCACCATTACAATAACATAATTTGTAAGTCGCTCTGGATAAGAGCGTCTGCTAAATGACGTAAATGTAAATGTAATAATAATGGGGGGTATGATATTTGTCCCAATACTTTTGGTCCCCTAAAATGGTAGGACTATGTACAAAAAGTGCTCTAATTTCTAAACGGTTCACCCGATATGGATGAAAATACCCTCAAAATACCCGCACGTTAACCTCATAGTCATTGTATCATTCCAATTGCTGAAGTACAGAGCCAAAACAACAAAACATTAGTCACTGTCCCAATACTTTTGGACCTCACTGTATGACTCACCTTTATGTACTGTATCATTGCTACACAGGCACATACAGTTCCTAATTGTGTGTGTGTGTGTTTCTGTAGTATGATGTGCAAGGAGACTGGAAAATCAATGGAGCGGGCTTCCACCACAGTCACCAGCACGGCTTCGGCCTGCTCAATGCCTGGAGGCTGGTCAACGCTGCCAAGGTACCACCTCACGTCACCCATTCCCTTCCTAATGTCTCAGCAGCACGTTCATGTCAAGCTTAACCAACTACACTACAGATACAGTTAGGAGTGGTAGGGATTCTCTTTCAGCTGCTCATTAAAGAAAACCTGGAAGGTATACATGTGAAAAGTCTGTTGTTTTTGTGCGTGTGTGTGTGTATTAATCAGGTGTGGGAGATGGTGCCGTTCCTAGTGTCCTATCAGAGCCCAGTGCTGAAGGAGGAGGAGCTTATCCCAGCCTATCCGGAGCAACTCAACCTAACCTGGAACGGTTGGTAGTGTGTGTGTGTGTGTGTGTGTGTGTGTGTGTGGTATGTGTGAGTGAGAGAGAGAGAATGAGCAAGCAAGTCTTGTAATATGCAAGTCTGAGTATTTGCTGTTTCTCTTCTCTCTGTCAGTGTTCTCCTGAGAGACCCACCCAACAGGCAATCAGTAGTCTGCCCTTATTAGGCAATGTTCTTCAGAGTCTCCCTGTCACTGGGCACACTAACTAAACTATGGAGTAGAGAACACATCCCTACGTTCCCTCCCCTCCCCTTCCCTCTCTCTCTCTCTCTCTCTCTCTCTCTCTCTCTCTCTCTCTCTCTCTCTCTCTCTCTCTCTCTCTCTCTCTCTCTCTCTCTCTCTCTCTCTCTCCCTCTCTGACACACACACAGTGACCTCATCAGAGCAGAGATATCTGTATTCGTTCCTCCTCCCTCCCTCTCTCTTCTTCCCTCCTGGCCCAGCGTATGCAGCCTGTGTGTTGCCTGTTCTGTGGTCAGGAGCAGAGCCAGAAGCAGTGTGTTTCCCTGCTGCAGCACAGCCGTGTGTGTCCAGTCTCACGTGACTAGGGTTTCTAAGGACAAAGCAGAGGAAGAGTTGCTGACAAAGGCTAAATGTTTTAGTCCAAGTGAAATGTGTTTTGAATTAATGAAATTCGAGATTTAAATCGACTTTGTATTTATACATGGAAATTCTATTTACATGAATTGAAAATAAGCTTGTGTTGGTTATTCCCAACGATACATGAAGCAGGTGGTTGTGTTAAACCACTCTATCGCTAGGCTATTTGTTGTCCTTGTTGCTATGTGTTTTGGCCGGTCTGTTAGCTTAAGGTCCAGCGGTTAGTATGAGCACTATTTTCTTCCCATGTGAAAAGGGAAGACTAGAGTGTTCAGTCCCAAACGTTGGATTCCCCAAAGATAGGGGTGTGTTGTTATTGAAAATAAAAACAGTTGTTCAAAGTGCAAAAAGTAGAAAATGTCTAAGATGTTTGCGCTAAATGTCAGGAGAGGAATGTATGGGGTACATGCCAGGCCAGCGTTGATTACAACCTCTGGCATTCAAACTGTGCATCCCAAATGGCACTCCTTTTTATAGTGCATTGCTTTTGACCCGGGCTCATAGGGCTCTGATCAAAAGTAATGCAAATATGTAGGGTTAGGGTGCCATTTGGGATGCAGACAAATCACTGGCTTATTTATCTTCCCTTGTTCCGTGTGTGTGTGTGTGTGTGTGTGTGTGTGTGTGTGTGTGTGTGTGTGTGTGTGTGTGTGTGTGTGTGTGTGTGTGTGTGTGTGTGTGTGTGTGTGTGTGTGTGTGTGTGTGTGTGTGTGTGTGTGTGTGTGTGTGTGTGTGTGTGTGTGTGTGTGTGTGTGTGTGTGTGTGTGTCAGAGAGGGAGAGAATAATGCACACAGAGCATAGCCAGAGCCTTTGACGTGATATTTAAGATCCATTTACCGCCATTGTATTGATTTTGCTTTACTGAGTCGATTATGCAGACCTAGATATTAGTGAAAAAGATGATATCATTTCAGAGCTGGAGCATTTGGGATGCAACACGTTTGTGCTTGATTTAATATATAACTTGTATGAAAAGGCAGTAACGCACTCTTAAGACCCATCAGTCGTGATTATGTGGATGAAGAGTGAGATTCTCATCAAAGGTCACTGTCTGTGTGGGAGGGTCTCTGAGGAACTCTTACGAGTCGACTCCTGTACGTTTGGAAGAAGATGGCTGGACTCCAAGAAGTCCTTTTCCCCCTCCCTCCCTCCCTCCCTCCCTCCCTCCCTCCATCCTACTCTACCCATATACACTCTACCCCTCTCTCTGCCCCCCTTCACCCCCAGTATCTCTCCCTCCACACCTTTGTATATCCCTCTCTCTTCCTCTCCTTCCTTGGCCTGGGGAAGGGTTTTTCCCTACATGGTAATGGAGCATTAAGGCCCATTAGCAAACAGGGGATGAGGGAAATGCCATTGAATTACAGTACGCTGCTGCTGCAGGTCAGGAATCCAGAGAGGAAGGGAGGAGGGTGACTCCGCTGTGAGGGACTACAAGTCTACAGTATTCCTCTGGGGTGGGTGGGTAGGTGGGTGGGTGGGTAGGTGGGTGGGTGGGTGGGTGGGTGGGTAGGTGGGTGGGTAGGTGGGTGGGTGTGCACGTTTTACTATACAATGAAGAACAAGAATTGGCTGTAGAATATCAGCAAGAGGGCCATTGCACAGTGGATGGTGTAGTGAAACTGTTGAAGGCTTCGGGGGGAGATTTTGGTGTAAAATGAGACCATTCAGACAGCAGTCATCAAGTTCACAAAATGTATTTGAATGTCTGAACAGGCACCTGATACAATTGCTAAGACAATATATAGTCATTCTGAATGAAGAAGACATGCATCATTACAGACATTGGGTAATATGAGACTGATGACACTTTCAACAACTTTCAATTAAACATGAGTACAGTGATGCAACATGACCTTGAACAGAGGCAAAAACAAGATTGCAGGTGTCTGGGAATGTCTGAGGAGTGCCTGGAGCAGATGTATATACAAAGTTCTTAACTCAGTGAGAAAATACAAGATTCACACTAAATGTAATGTCCTTATATGGCCTTTAATTAAGATTGGACCTATTGGCTACAAGAGTAAAGTTCAATCACGTCGACCCTTCACTGTTATATGTAGTTTTCATAGGCTCATCTGCTCTCCCCCTCACTCTGCCATTCCTATAGAAGGACATTAGTCATTTATTAGGATCTCTGTGCTCCTCTCACCCCAGTCACTGCAGCTGACCTCAGACAGTCCGGGATGCAGACCTTGGAGCACGTGTCTGTCACCTTGACGCTGGCCCATTCTCGCCGCGGCAACGTGGAGATTGTGCTGCTCTGCCCCAGTGGCATGTCCTCACTCATCGGGGCGCGCCGTGCTCTGGACACGTGAGTTTGCGCACGCACGCACACACAAAAACCAAATGAAAGCTTATTGGTCGCTTACAGATTTGCATATGTTATCGCAGGTGCAGCGAAATGCTTGTTTCTATCTCCAGCAGTGCAGTAATAACAGTACACAGATACACTATATATACCAAAGTATGTTGACACACCTTTTAAATTAGTGGATTTGACTATTTCAGCCACACCCGTTGCTGACAGGTGTATAAAATTGAGCACACAGCCATGCAATCTCCATAGCCAAATATTGGCAGTAGAATGGCCTTACTGAAGACCTCAGTGACTTTCACGTGGCACCGTCATAGGGTGCCACCTTTCCAACAAATATCTGCTTTGCTAGAGCTGCCCCGGTCAACTGTAAGTGCTGTTATTGTGAGGTGGAAACGTCTAGGAGCAACAACGGCTCAGCCGTGACGTGGTAGGCCACACAAGCTCACAGAACGGGGCCGCCGAGTGCTGAAGCGCGTAGCACGTAAAAATCATCTGTCCTCTGTTGCAACACTCACTACCGGGTTCCAAACTGCCTCTGGAAGCAACGTCAACACAAGAACTGTTCGTTGGGAGCTTCATGAAATGGGTTTCCATGGCCACAAACAAGCCTAAGATCACCATGCGCAATGCCAAGCGTTAGCTGGAGTGGTGTAAAGCTTGCCGCCATTGGACTCTGGAGCAGTGGAAACGCGTTCTCTGGAGTGATGAATCACTGTTCACCATCTGGCAGTCCCAAGGACGAATCTGTGTTTGGCGGATGCCAAGGTGAACGCTACCTGCCCGAATGCGTAGTGCCAACTGTAAAGTTTGGTGGCTGTTTTTCATGCATTGTGCTAGGCCCCTTAGTTCCAGTGAAGGGAAATCTTAACGCTACAGCATACAATGACATTGTGGCAACAGTTTGGGGAAGGCCCTTTCCTGTTTCAGCATGACAATGCCCCCATGCACAAAGCGAGGTCCATACAGAAATGATTTTTCGAGATCGGTGTGGAAGAACTTGACTGGCCTGCACAGAACCCTGACCTCAACCCCATCGAACAACTTTGGGATGAATTGGAACACCGATTGCGAGCCAGGCCTAATTGCCCAACATCAGTGCCCGACCTCACTAATGCTCTTGTGGCTGAATGGAAGCAAGTCCCCGCAGCAATGTTCCAACATCTAGTGGAAAACCTTCCCAGAAGAGTGGAGGCTGTTATAGCAGCAAAGGGGGGACCAACTCCATATTAATGCCCATGATTTTGGAATGAGATGTTCGACAAGAAGGTGTCCACATACTTTTGGTAATGTAGTGTATGTACACGCTGATTTTAGTTTTACATGTATTCACTTACTCTAAAAAATGTGTACAACATATAACACTCACCCCCATTTTTTGACATCCTTACCTCTGTGCTGTTGTGTGTTACTCCAGGGATACCTCAGGTTACTCTGACTGGACGTTCTCCACTGTGCGCTGCTGGGGCGAGAGAGCCGAGGGCCAGTACAGGCTGCAAGTCTCTGACCACAGTAAGGGCTAGTCTTTGTCTGTCTGTGTCTGTCTGTCATTCACCTGCCTGCCACTGACCACTACATGACCCCAGCTACAGTATGAGCTCTCTCCTGCTCATTTATTCATCATCATCTCTCCCCCCCCCTCTCTGTCTTTCTGTCTTTCTGTCTTTCTTTCTTTCTTTCTTTCTTTCTTTCTTTCTTTCTTTCTTTCTTTCTTTCTTTCTTTCTTTCTTTCTTTCTTTCTTTCTTTCTTTCAGAAGAGCCTGCGTTGCCGCTGGGCTCTCTGAAGCACTGGAAGCTCACTCTGTACGGCTCCTCTCTGTCCTTCGAAGAGGTCAAGGAGAGACAGAGGTCAGGTGAAACACATCACTGTTAAAACAGCAGCCTGGGTTATATAAATAGAAAATATGTATCAATTATATTATTATGTGTTTCTGGATCATCTATTTTTAAAGGAAAATGATGGTTTGTCATTGGTGCTCCCTTTGTGGATGTGAGCATTGATTGGTTGTGTGATTTGATTGACAGTGTGGTGGAGGAGGCTATGGGAGGGCAGTATCTGGACAGCAGTTTCTCCCTGCCTTGTCATGCAGGCATGGACATTCCCCCTGAGATTGTCAGCCCTTTCACCTCCAACAGCCTCAAGGTATGTTACACACACACACACACACACACACACACACACACACACACAACAAATAAATAAATATGCCTCATTTAGTAATTTCTTCCCCTCTCCCCCATCACCATGTCTCTGTGTAGTCTCTGCTACTGCTGGGCTGCTTCGCTCTCTTCTGGTCCCTGTACTACACCCTGGAGGTGACCCTGGCCAAACCTGGACTTTAGGGGGTTGTGTCGGCAGGGCAGGGGGGCGCGGGGCTCCCGCGGGGGCCTGGGGAGGGGCTCTGGAACTCTGGGGGACAGCTCTGAGCTGGAGATGCAGAGTGTGTTGGACTTAGAGGACAAGGTACCCTTTATCACTAGAGACGCTGCCACATAACACTGGAGAAAACCTCTGTCCTTTCCCCTTACGACTTCCCACCCGCCTCTCATCAGTCTGGGCCTGGCGCCAGTGGGGCCAACTGAACTGGACTGGAGACTGAACTATGTGGGCTGGAACTGTGTGCTCACTGGACCACTCATCGCTCCCCAAGCCTGTGGCCTTTTATCAGCGTTGCAGCGCCCCATGTGTGTGTGAGTAAGTGTAGTGTGGTGGAGCAACCTAGACCCCCTGGATCTCTCAGGACCCTCCGGTCTCACCTAGCAGTGCTATAGAGATGGTAGTTTGGCCTGGTCTTTGGGTTGGAGGATGTATCACTAGTTTGGTTCAGTCCCTTACCTGGGTCTTTTAGTGTGGGGTTAGAAGGTGTGCTGGACAACCAGACAGAGCAGCACTCCCGGGGCGGTTTCCTGGACAACGATTAAGCCTAATCCTGGACTAAAAAACAAGATTAATTAAGAGTATCCATTGGAAATGCTTTTTAGTCCAGGATTAAGCTTAGTCTGGGTCCGAAACCGGCCCTTGAAGTTAAAGTCAACCTTCCAAAGTTCATTAGGTGTGCACCGTGGGAAGGAATTACAATGCTGTGCATGTGTGTGTGTGAATGTGTTTTAAAATGTAAATGGTGTTTGGTTTTGAGGATGTGTGACAGTGTGTGCATGTGTGAGTGATGGAGTGCTCTTGATTATGGTTACTTTTTAAGTTATTTATTTTATTAAAGGTGTTACACATAGGATTTGTTTAACATTTTTGCATTGTAATTAATTCGTTGGGGCATGGACTCTACAAGGTGTCAAAAGCGTTCCACAGGGATAAATAATGTTGACTCCAATGATTCCCACAGTTGTCCTTTGGGTTGTAGACCAAGTTGCTTTCTGTTTTGGTCCACCAGCTTCAAACAGCTGTAAAAATTATATTTTTTGTTATTGAAAATATATTTTGCAACGATTTAGATGGTATAATAATTCCCAACACTATTCAGTGCTTGTTTTCGCACAGAAACTGAAATTGAGCGAACAGTGTAGAATTTTAGCAACTAGGAAATGAGCAATTTAAAAAAAAACAGATGCCGTTCCGGTGTAAGAAATCAATAGGTGAATATCACAGCCAATCCCAACACCAGCGGTTAAGTAATACTGTGAAACACTATCATTCCACTATTGGCGTCATATATTTATGGACATTTTCTGAAATTACAATGCAAAAATCCTAAAAAATCGTATGTGTAGAAGCTTTAAAGCTACAATATGTAACTTTTTGGGCGACCCGACCAAATTGACATAGAAATGTGAGATAGATCTTTCATTCCTGTTGAAAGCAAGTCTAAGAAGCGGTAGAGCTGTTCTATGTGTGCTATTTCTATGCTTCCCGTTCTGCAGTTTTGTTTTTGCTTCTTTTACTTTTGGTTTTGTACACCAGCTTCAAACAGCTGAATATACAATGTTTTTGGTTATGGAAAATATATTTCACAATGGTTTAGATGGTACAATGATTCTCTACACAATGACAGCTTGTTTTGTCACATAAACTGAAATTAGGTGAACTATTCGAATTTTAGCAGCCATTAAATGGTGGAGCGATTTCTGCACAGTGCATCTTTAAGTTAATTATTTTGTAAACAGACCTCCCGTTTGGGCGTGGTCATTTTGTAATGTTATTTTGTGCAGGCTATATAAATTTTTCTGTTACGTGAACTTGATTTGGGATCTAAGTGTTGGGTTGAATGTGTTTTTTTTTATCAACTGTAATATATACACATGTTACAATGTGTGTGTGTGTGTGTGTCGTACATCTATATATCAGAGTTTGAGGATTTTTATGAACTGAAATATATTAAAGATTTTATTTTTTATTTACTGGACTGAACTGGAAGCCTGTGTTTCTCTGTGCAAGTCACAGCTTGACTGAGTAAAATGAATAAAGATTGTTGCTGGCTGGATCATTCCCATCATTTCCCTTGAAATCAAACCACAGAAATTTAGCACGAAAAAGTATGTCACAATCATTCTTGAGTCCAACTATTGCTGGCGCGTTTTGGACTTCTAACCCCTTTTAAACCATTGTCTGAGCTACAGCAGCTGGGTTGTTGCATTAGTCTGTGTCATTAACGGGGGCTGAGCTAGAGCGGTGTTCGTGAGACAAGGGCGGATCCCGAAAACGGTTCTTCTTGTGTGTAAAGTCAGAACGGTTTGTGCTACAAACTATTATGACCATCTATAAAAAGCTGACACAAGTCGTTGGAAGGTAAGAGGTTCTTCTACATAGAATATCATAGAACATCCCAGGACACTGTGTCTATAATACTGTAATAAGCTCACATAGTTGCTGTCACAAACTAAACGCCACACAGTTGTCACTGATGTATTGGATATTCATTTCCCACTGCGCAAACAATTTCTGTACTTACAGCATTCTTATATATTTTTTATCAGGTTTTTGCTTAGCTGACCTTATTTGTGCATTGACATATGTCAATAAAATTAATGGATGCAACTGTTTATGTCAAATTATTTTGTTTTCTACTTGTAGCTGTGGTTGTCCTGAAAAGACACTGGTAAAACACTTCAATGTGAGGCTAAATATGAGGGAAGAGCAAGCAGTGAATTTAAGCTTTTTCACTGTGGGAGGCCAAGGACAAATGGAGTTAATAAGACTATGTACAAAAGTATGGGGCTATTACAGAGGTCATAGCAGTTGGCAGGGATCGGTACATACAGTATAGCACTGTTAACTTGAAAAACTCATAACACTGGAGACACAATGAAGACATAATGAACTTCAACCTAATTTCCTTCCTTTTATTTGGTATTTTTCAAACGATCTCTCAAGCAATCTCTCATAATGTTTCTACATTTTGATAGAATGTCCTTGTACTAAGAAGGCAGAACTTAGTTGATTCAGTGCCATCTATGATTCAAATATCAGTCTCATGTAAACATGAGAATTGCATTTGAGGATGAGTGATTGACAGCTGTATATGCATGTCGTCCCTTTCACCTTAAGACTCACATTTCACATACGGTATTTGCAGCGTAGATTTGGGTTGTAATAGATTGGGCAGGTCAAGTTTGGTCATAGTGAGACTGTTTCTACTACACTGGGATAAGGTTGAGTTGAGGCATTAAGACTTCATCTGTGGGGCCTGTCGTAGCTGCAGTGAGAGGCCGAAGGGGAGAGGAGGGCAGTGCAGGGCATGGTGGAGAAAGGAGGGGAAAGGACATGGGTCAGTGGTTTGGTTGTTATTATTGGATCTGTCGGGTGGCCCCGTATGACATGCCAGTCTGGCTGGCCCCTTTGTTGGAGCCCATCTGCAGGCCAATCACACCCTTCCCCGCTTTCAGCTGGTCGTCTGTGAACTCCCTCCGGTTCTCCTGGGCTTTCCTGCAAGGGCACATGGACAATAAACTCAAAAACACACACTGGCATAGCACAATACACGTCCCAGCTTTAAACAGCCCCAGCCCTGACTGAATACACCAGCATTCTTCACAATCTTCTAACTCACTTGAAGAACCAGTTGGGGTCGCCGTGGTAGTTGCCGTCATCTTTGGTGACAGCCACGCTGCCGAGGGACATCAGTGTCCTCTGGACTGCAGCCAAATCCTTCCCTGTCACCACAAAATCACAGCAGGGTCTTTAAGTCCCCACACCATAGCTACAGCACACCACACCGTTGTATGTGCCCCCCACTACATCCGCTGTTATCTGTGGCAAATGTAATGCCCTGTGTTGTCATTGTTGTGATTGTTTGATGATATGCGAGATGGACATGCTTTGCGAACCTTCCCAGAGGTCCACGGTCTGGAACATGTCGGTCTTGATGACACCGTAGCTCTCGGCAGCAGTTAGGAACTGCGAGATCTGCTCCATCTGTTTGAAGGCCATGCTTGAGCTGGCTATCTTCTTGATGGGCTTGTTGTCCTTATGCAGACTGTTAATGAGCTCACTCAGGACCTGGGGAATAGGAACATAAAGCTAAGAGTAAGAGTACGTTGGGAGAAAATAACCATCTGTACCATCATATACTCTTGTGGGGTCCCCCAAGGTTCGATACTTGGCCCATTGTTGTTTTTACATTTATATGATCATCATCTGATTTACAAAGTGTTTGTTTCTCCATTCTCTTTGCTGATGACACAAATCTTTAGATCTAATAAAGATTGTCCAAATAAATGGCTAATATGAATTCTGAATGCTGTTAAGTTAAAATGTATGTTTCAGTCTGAGGGGTCTTAGGCATTGGATTGGTACTCACACATCCGTCCTTGAGCCAGTCCTGGAAGCCCAGTTTTCCAGCCTCAGGCTTCCCAACTCCAGATCCACACTGGGCCACAATCCACTGCACCAAAAGCTCCTCCACCTCAGCGTCGTACTTCTTGTCAATCTTGTCCTGCACCACCCGGCTCATGCCATAAGATGGACCTTTGTTGGCCATGCCTACCTGAGGTCCCTTTCCCACCGAGAGGGATAGAGGGAGAGAAGGATTGAGGGACAGATGGAGTGGAGTAGAACAGATATTAAATAGAGGAAATATGGATATTTATGTGAGGAAAGGGAGTTGTTCTATGATAGGGTTCCACAACTGCCGTTTTCTGAGATTTCTTTCTGATAATTATTTGTTATTAGTTTATTGTTGGACATAAAAGACTAAAAACACCAGCCAAGTGATTAAATTTTGGAAATCTGTTCCAAAGTCTTCCCACGCATAATAGAGAGATATACAGTATGTGATTGTATACAAATGTAAGCGAAGTTTGAAATGTTTTAGTCAAATATTATATCAGTTTGGGCTTCTTGCGGTCAATTTGCAGTTTACAAAATATTTGTAATTATGTTCCGGCCCCCTGACCATCCGCTCAAGAAAAAATCATCCTGCGGCTGAATCTAGTTGATGATCCCTGTTCTATAATGTCTGAGAACATCTTGATCTGGTATTAGACCTGAAAGTATTCTGTGGTTCAGATGACATTGTGACATTGACTATGTTTAATGTATGTTGTATGACAGTTTCTATATCAGTAGCGCCTGAGGTGAGCATGTACACTTCCATTTGCATGTCACTTGTGCTATGATCTGCTATCATAACTAATATGAAGGGACTCCATTTTCCATTGACCTTTGGCTGAAACAGATATTACCTTAGTTGCAAGTCCAACAGCTCTGTGGATATATAGGCAGATTTGCATGCGTACACATGCACACATGAAGACATTGGACAAATGGCACATTCACTCACAAACAAATACGCCTGCGAACACGTACACACACACACATATAGATGTCATGCATTTATAAAGGCGTGTATTTGAGCCGCTCCCTCCCAAAGATGATTGCATGTCTCCGAATGCACACCAGTTCAGCCCATCTGCATGAATTACAGAACTAAATATCAGGAGCCAAAGTGCTGTACAATGGGAGCCCTAGAATCAGCAGAATCACGCTCTCTTTTTGTATTTCTTTGCCTCTCTCTCTTAAACACACTAGGCGCCACCAACACCATTGCTTGCAAAACTGTTGCTTTTGGGCCAAGCTGCGAAGTGCAAAGCCCATATCAATGCACTCTTAGCACTCTTGTCACCTTGTTTGCCATCTTGATGTCAGGATACCACGACTTGCTGTGCCTGGGGGTTGAAGGTGAAATGTTAAATGTTACCACCTGGAGTTCACCTTCATCCTGATTGGACGTCATGCTGGGTCCTTCCCTAGACTGCTGTTGGATGGGGTAGCCAATGGTAATAGTAAAGTAAGATCTGGTCACTTCATGTTTGTCTCAAGGAGACAGTTGCCTTATCTACACAAAAGAGTTCCAAAAGGGTTATTTGGCTGTCCCCCATAGGAGAACACTTTTTGGTTCCAGGTAGAACCCTTTTGGGTTCCAAGTAGAACTCTCTGTGGGAAGCGTTCTACATTGAACCCAAAATGGTTCTACCTGGAACCAAAATATTTGTACCTGCAACCAGAAAGGGTTCTTCAAAGGGTTATCCTATAGGTACAGCCGAAGAACCCATTTAGATTCTAGATAGTACCTTTTTTTTCTAAGTGTGCATTTGCATAGTTTTAGTTGGACCCAACTACTCACACTCCACCACAAGGTCAGCGTGGACCCTTCCATGCCTAGTATTTGAATGATAACCTGTAGCAAGCTCAAAAAACCTTACTAGCAGCAACACAAGCAACAAATGGAAGACAATATTTATTCTTCAATCTTTATGCTTATTCTTAATTGTTTTCCTACAAAAAGATTCATTTGAAACTCAGCTCCCATTTTTCTCCAAGAGTTCCTGAATCCACATTATGTGCCTCCTCTTCCTCATTCCCATATTGACTCATCAGTTTAAGTCAGGCAACACTTAAGAGAAAATGTATCGATCAGCTGCCATTAACCTAGTTTTCTATGCCAGCAGTCATGTGTTGAACATTGGAATTAAGAGCATGTATCTGTGTCACCACATTGTGTTGGATTGGCAGCCATCAACACACAGCCCTGGACTGTCTGGCACTTGGCCCAGTCACACATTACTTCTGCTCCATCATGCAAAGAAGTAGACCAAGGCACAGGCCTACTAGACACTATTTGTCAACAATCCAGTCACACGAATATGAAGCCTTCAAAAATACAGAAACTTGAGAGGAGGTTTTTTAGTGTTTCAAACTGTTTCATGGTACCTTATTGACAGACTGCTGTAGTTCACAGGAGATCAAATTAACTCTTAACCATAAAGACAAGAAACATTTCTAATATGCCCCACATCTTCCTCCTCAGAGTCAGACCACAATAAGCTACCAACCTCACCCTAACACACACTCAGTCAAACCCTCGCACAGTGCATCATTATAGAAACATTCCAGAGGAATCTGAGGAATGTCGGGCTGGTAGCTATGCCATTACTTTTTCCCCCAGTTGGTCTAGACCTATGCTTCATATACAAGCATTTTGACCATCAGAAATTAGACTGATGTTCCTCCAATGTGGAAAGCCCCTTTCGTCTGTGTGCCACTGCCAGTACAGGTCACTGCCCTCCACAGAGGGGATATGGATGGCCTGAGAGGTCAGTTCATATGGGACGGGACCCTGGTTCCATTATGGTATTTATGTGTGCTAAGGGACCTACTGTACTGTTGGGTTTGGCATCAGGCCCTGTCTCTGATATCTCCAGTCCAGAACAGTATGTCAGGCTGGCCTGTGGGTTGGCGTCAGTCTGGGTTGTCTCTCTGTGTGTGTGTGTGTGTGTGTGTGTGTGTGTGTGTGTGTGTGTGTGTGTGTGTGTGTGTGTGTGTGTGTGTGTGTGTGTGTGTGTGTGTGTGTGTGTGTGTGTGTATGTGTCTGTGTGTGTATGTGTCTGTGTGTGGGGTGTGGTGTGGTGGGGTGGGGTGTGTGGGTCTGTATGTGTGTTAATTACATAGCTATGTTTCCAGTTCTACATTTGGTAGGATATGTGGACTATGTGTTTGGAGTGTTGTCATTCAGTCTCTGAACTACATGTTGCTTCTCAACTACTGGTACTACAGTATGAAACAGTGTCCACTTATCCTAATGAAAATATGACATCACCATCTATCTCTCCTTTCATGTCTGTTTTACTTCTGTGTTTCTGTCTTGCCATGGTAACACAGCTGGCTGTCTCGCCATGGTAACACAGCTGGCTGTCTCACCATAAAGCAGTTTGAATGCTGTGGTCTGTGAACTGTGGCTAAAGCCATGACGTAATGCCAGCGGCTCTGCAGTGCCACTGAAATGGAGCTCAAGATAATCTTATCTCCTGCTGCTGCTGGTCAGCTCTCCTCTGGGACTTTACTCCTGCTACTGCTAGGCCTCCTGTACTGTAGATAACTCCCCAGCTACTGAAGCCACTGCTGTAGTTCTCCCTTGTTATCTCTCTGTCTCTCAAACACACACTTCTGCCCACTCACAGCAAACATTAGCCTGATAAACTGTATTGATTAATCCCATATGATCAATGAAAGCCGCTGTGTTTCTGTGTTACTTGTTTGCATCTTTGTCTGTGTGCGTGTGTTTTTCTTCTTTGGAAAGTGTGTCTGCCGTGAACTTTTGTTGGCTATAGAATTCCTAGCCAAAGATCATGTATGGCACTCAGTCATTTGCAAGTGAAAACTGAGCTATGCAAGTGTGTCTCTTACAAGAGGAGCTGCTGTGCTGCCAATCCCAGATCGCTCTCTAGGACCAAACTGGTCAAACTGTTTTCTCTGTTACCTTTACATATTTGTGACTGATTCGGATGGTTATTCTACAGTAGAAACATGCTAGCTCATATCAGAACTACATATCCCATCCCTCTAGCACCTGGTACCCCATTGACCAAGACACCATCCCACATCCAGCTCTGATGCTCGTCAGATGTGGTAGGGTTTGCAAACCATTACAGACTACACAGGGAAGCACAGCCGCGAGCTGCCCAGTGACACAAACCTACCAGACAAGCTAAATCACTTCTATGCTCTCTTCGAGGCAAGCAACACTGAAGCATGCATGAGAGCATCAGCTGTTCCGGATGACTATGTGATCACGCTCTCCGTAGCCGATGTGAGTAAGACTTTTAAGCAGGTGTCAACATTCACAAGGCCGCAGGGCCAGATGGATTACCAGGACGTGTACTCCGAGCATGCGCTGACCAACTGGCAAGTGACTTCACTGACATTTTCAACATGTCCCTGACTGAGTCTGTAATACCAACATGTTTCAAGCAGACCACCATAGTCCCTGTGTCCAAGAACACTAAGATAACCAGCCTAAATGACAACCGACCCGTAGCACTTACATCTGTAGCCATGAAGTGCTTTGAAAGGCTGGTCATGGCTCACATCAACACCATTATCCCAGAAACCCTAGACCCACTCCAATTTGCATACCGCCCCAACAGATCCACAGATGATGCAATCTCTATTGCACTGCACACTGACCTTTCCCTCCTGGACAAGAGGACCACCTACGTGAGAATGCTATTAATTGACTACAGCTCAGCATTCAACACCATAGTGCCCTCAAAGCTCATCACTAAGCTAAGGACCCTGGGACTAAACACCTCCCTCTGCAACTGGATCCTGGACTTCCTGACGGGCCGCCCCCAGGTGCTAAGGGTAGGTAACAACACATCCGCCACACTAATCCTCAACACTGGGGCCCCTCAGGGGTGCGTGCTCAGTCCCCTCCTGTACTCCCTGTTCACCCATGACTGCATGGCCAGGCATGACTCCAACACCATCATTAAGTTTGCCGACGACACAACAGTGGTAGGCTTGATCACCGACAACGATGAGACAGCCTATAGGGAGGAGGTCAGAGACTTGGCCGTGTGGTGCCAGGATAACAACCTCTCCCTCAACGTGCTCAAGACAAAGGAGATGATTATGGACTACAGGAAAAAAAGGAGGACTGAGCACGCCACCATTCTCATCGACGGTGCTGTAGTGGAACAG